TGTTATATTTAGACCTTATTCTATGTCTTAATATTGCAAGCAATGTTGCCATAAATATCCATATACATTCTCCTGTATCTGGGCAAGTGTTTTCCTAGATTAAATATCTAGAAGTAGGCTGGGCGTAGTGCCTCACGCCTGTAATCCCAGCACTTTGGGAGGCAGAGGTGGCCAGATCACGAGGTTAAGAGATCTCACACACCTGTATTCCCAGATACTCAGGAGGCTGAGGCAGAACCGCTTGAACCCGGGAGGTGGAGACTGCAGTGAGCCAATATCACACCACTGTACTCCAGCCTGGGTGACAGAGTGAGACTCCATCCCCCCCACCCCACCCCCAAAGAAAGAGCTGGGTATAGTGGCTCATGTAATTCCAGCACTTTGGGAGGCTGAGGTGGGTGGCTGACCTGAGATTGGGAGTTCAAGACCAGCCTGACCAACATGGAGAAACCCTGTCTCTACTAAAAGTACAAAATTAGCCAGGCATGGTGTTACATGCCTGTAATCCCAGCTCCTCAGGAGGCTGAGGCAGGAGACTGGCTTGAACCCGGGAGGTGGAGGTTGCAGTTAGCCCAGATCATGCCACTATACTCCAGCCTGGGCAACAAGAGGGAAACTCTGTCTCAAAAAAAAAAAATATATATATATATATTTCTTACTCATACTTTATGTGTAACACAAGTCACAGGGCAGAGGAGGGGTCCCCTTATTGTTGTTTCTCAGGGATCCAGGCTAATTGAGGCTGTGCACCTCCATGGCCAGCTGCTTCCAGGACCACTAAGGCAGGAAGAAGGGGCGAGATGAATTATGCACTGGCTCCGGGCGTTTCCACCCTAAAGCAACACATGTTCTGTTCACTGGCACTTCAAAGCAAGTGTCATGGCTAAGCCTGTCTTTGAAGAGGTAGAGGGGTGGGATTCTTCCAGACACCAGAGGACAGTTGGACCGTGGAAATGCTTCCAATGCTCCACCATTACATGTGGTGTTTGCTCTAAGTTTCTGGTAGATAACACCTTATCAAGTTAAGACGTACATTCGTGAGTTTGTTCAGTTTGTTAAGAGGTTGTCTTTATCGTGAACACATACCGACTTTTATCAAATGACTTCATGCCACCTGTTTGATGAGCAAATGTTGTTTGTTTCTCCCTTAGTTGGTTAAGGCATTTATACATATTGTTTCTACCCTAGCACATTGCCCTCCACTGCCCTCTCTAACCACTTTAGCTGGTTAATTCCTTCTCATTCTTTGGTGTTTATTCATTCATTCAGCAAATATTTATTGAATAATACTATGTGCCAGATGCTCTTCTAGGCACTTGGGAGATAGTCATGAACAAAGTAAACAAACAAACAAAAAAAAACCCCTTGCCCATACGGACCTTAAATGGGATAGGAAATGAAATAAACATAAAAACAGGCCGGGCGTGGTGGAGCATGCCTGTAATTCTAGCACTATGAGAGGCCAAGGCAGGAAGACTGCTTGAGCCCAGGAGTTCAAGACCAGCCTCGGCAACATACTGAGACTCCCGTCTCTACAAAAAAATAAAAAATTAGCCAACATGGTGGCACATGCCCATATTCCCAGCTACTCAGGAGGTCTCACAAGAAAGTCACATCAGGGCAATGCCTCAAAACAGGGGCAGGGGCCAGGCACAGTAGCTTATGCCTGTAATCCCAGAACTTTGAGATGCTGAGGCAAGCGGATCGCTTGAGGTCAGGAGTACAGGACCAGCCTGGCCAAGGTAAAACTCCATCTCTACTAAAAATACAAAAAGTAGCTGGGCGTGTTGGCATGCACCTATAATCCCAGCTACTTGGGAGGTTGAAGCAGGAGAATTGCTTGAACCCGGGAAGTGGAGGTTGCAGTGAGCAAATATCATGGCATTGCACTCCAGCCGGGGCAATAGAGCGAGACTCCGTCTCGGAAAAAGAACAAACGAAAAAATCCAGGGACAGGGATAACCAGACAGATACCTGGTGCAGTCGATTTCAGCCAGAAGCTAGCTGCCAGGCAGAGGCCCTGGAGAGAGAGCTTCCTGGTGCGTGCCAGGAGTTGCAGCTCAGTGAGTGAGGTTGGTGGAAGATGAAGAAGAATGGAGGGGGCAAGGGGCTGTGTGAGAAAATAAGTGAAGTCAGAACGAGGCCGGGCGAAGTGGCTCATGCCTGTAATCCCAGCACTTTGGGAGGCCGAGGCTGGTGGATCACAAGGTCAAGAGATCAAGACCATCCCGGCCAACATAGCAAAACCCCGTCTCTAAAAAAAATAAAATTAAAAAAAATTTTACAGTCAGGATGGTTCCAAAATTTTTGGCCTGAGCAACAACAGGATAAGCGGATCGTTAGGATGGGGTTGGGAAAGGCTCCAGGTGGAAAAGGTTTCAGGGCAGGATCAAGAGTTCAGGCATTGTTGTTATTTTTTTAAATTGTTTTAATTGAGATATAATTCACATACCATAAAATTCACCTTTTTAAAATACACAATTTAGTATATTTTATCATTCACTAGGTTTTACCACTAATTCTAGAACATTTGATAACCCCAATAAAAAACCCCATACACATTGTCCCCTCCCTGACATGAACTTTCTGTCTCTGGAAACTTCATATACACGGAAGTATACAATATGTGTCCTCCTTTTGTGAGAGGCTTCTTTCGCTTAGTATAATGTTTTCAAGGTTCATCTATGTTGTATCATGTATCAGCACTTTATTCTTTTTTATGGCTGAATAATATTCCATTATTCGGATACATCACATTTTGTGTATTCATCAGGTGATGGATATTGGGTTGTTGCCACTTTTTGTCTATTATGAATAATGCTGCTAGCAACATTCGTTTGCAAAGTTTTTATGTGAACATATGTGTTCAGTACTCTTAAGTATATACTTAGAAGTAGATTGCTGGGTTATGGTAACTCTATGTTTAACTTTTGAGGAACTGCCAAATTGCTTTCCAAAGCAGCTGACCCATTTTACGTTCTCATAAGCAATATGTGAATTTCTCCAGATCCTTGCCAACATTTGTTATTATCTTTTTTTATTGTGGCCATCCTAGGGGTGAGAAGTGGTGTCTCCTTGTGATTTTAATTTGTATTCCTCTAATGACTAATGAGGTTGAACATCTTCTCATAAGCTTACGGCATGCATTCACATATCTTCTTTGGAGAAATGTCTATTCACTTGCCCATTTTTTTTTTTTTTTTTTTTTTGAGACGGAGTTTTGCTCTTGTTACCCAGGCTGGAGTGCAATGGCGCAATCTCGGCTCACCGCCACCTCCGCCTCCTGGGTTCAGGCAATTCTCCTGCCTCAGCCTCCTGAGTAGCTGGGATTACAGGCACGTGCCACCATGCCCAGCTAATTTTTTGTATTTTTAGTAGAGACGGGGTTTCACTATGTTGACCAGGATGGTCTCGATCTCTTGACCTCGTGATCCACCCGCCTCAGCCTCCCAAAGTGCTGGGATTACAGGCTTGAGCCACCACGCCCGGCTACTTGCCCATTTTTTAACTGGGTTGTCTTTTTATTGTTGAATTGTAAGAGTCCTTTATATATTCTAGAAACTAGACCCTTATCAGATATGATTTCCAAGTATTTTCTCCCATTCTGTAGGATGTGTTTCAAAAGTTTACTTTTTGGCCAGGAGTTGTGGCTCCTTTTTGTAATCTCAACACTTTGGGAGGCTAAGGTGAGTGGATCACCTGAGTTCAGGAAGTTGAAGATCAGCCTGGGCAACATGGTGAAACCGCATCTTTACTAAAAAACAAAACAAAACAAAAATGAAAATTAGCCATACTGCCAACCTAGGGTGGTAGGTAGAGGAAGGAGTGAGGCCAAGAGTGTATTTTGTTTTGTTTTGTCGTTTTTTGTTTTGCTTTTGAGAGGGGAGAAACAGCCTTATGTTTGTATCAGATGGGAATGATGCCGTGGGAGAGAGGGGAGAATCGCCGGAGTGGTGTCGCTGAGTAGGTGATGGCGGGACTGACGTTCATGTGGAAGGGTGGCCTTCAGTGGGGCACAGACAGTCACCTGTGGAAAAAGGCTGGAGGCAGGGTGTGGGCACAGCCCTACCCGAGCCAGGAGCAGGCCTGTGGGAGTCTGTGCGCCACTGTTGTCAAGGAAAGGCTGAGAATGAGGATGGGGAGCGGTTGGGAGTGAAAGGGAGAAAGTATGAAAGGGTGGCTAGGGTAGAGCAAATGGAGCCGGGGACAGAGCGAGGCCGGTCAGCACCGAGCCTGCAGGTGAGATCTGTGTCACAGGGTCTTGCCCGATCACCCAGGCTGGAGTGCAGTGGCACAGTCTCGGCTCACTGCAGCCTCAGCCTTCTAAGCTCAATCCATCCTCCTACCTCAGCCTCCTGAGCAACTGGGGCCAGAGGCACACACCACCATGCCTGGCTATTTTTGTAATTTTTATGGAGATTGGCTCTACCTATGTTGCCCAGGCTGGTGTCGAACTCCTTGGGTTCAAGTGATCCTCCCGCCTCAGCCTTCCATTGTGCAAAGATGCCAGAGGTGAGCCACTGCACCCGGCCTATGTCTTCAATTTTAAGTTAGGTTCTGACATCAAAAGCCTCCTATTGCTGGGATCTTTACTCTCGGCAGCCTTCACTAGACTGTAAGCCCCATGCGGGTGTGAGCAATGCTGTCTAGTCCACGGCTACATCTCAACACCCAGCTCCTCGTGCGTGGTACACTCTCAATACATAGCACTGAATAGTTGGATAAATGAATGAAGCAATGAATGAGAAAAGTCCTAGAAGTGGCACACGGCCCAGATTTCTGAAGCAGCCCCTTCCGCAACCCTGGGTGATTCTAGACCTACTCTCCCCCCCCCACCCTGCACCCCACCCCACCCTCCTCTCGGCTAAGCCCACCACTGCCCTCTTCAGCCCCGCAGCGCAGACCCTGTGGCTTTAAGGCCGGCAGGAGCCCAGCCGGGCAGCGATTGGTGGTTTATTCTAAGGATGAAGGATGAGCTCATCCACAGCCAATGGCCGCGCGGCACTGGCTGGCCCTGCACCTGCCGGACGCCAGAAAGTAGCGGCCCGCGGCACGCTCCAGCCTGAAGGGCCGGTGACCGCAGTGGGAGGCCTGGCCCGCGGACCCGGCTCCCAGCTCGGGCAGGTACGGTGTGTGTCCTGCCCCTCCTCCACCCTCCCAGGCAAGGGGCCCCCTCAGCTGTTCCCCGCGGGATCGTGCACCTTGCGGCCGGCCGGGGCCCCGCGGGCTGCACGTGCCGTTTTCTGTGTACAGGCGCAGCCAGGCAGCTCTGCCCGGCAGGACCCGGCCTGGCGGGGTGGCCCCTGAAGCCAGCACAACCCTCCTGGGTGACAGCCAGAGCAAGGCCTCAGAGCCTCCAGTCCCCCCCGGGCTTGGTCGAGAGGGGAGGGTGCGGCCTCCCTCCGCCTCCTGGCCGCATCCTGGCTCCCTGCCCCTGGCTGAGGCTGTGGGCTTCCCCTCCCACCCCACTGCCCATCCTGCTGTCTCCTCCCACTCTCCAAATGACCTGGGGTTGGAAGTTCTAGGCCCTGCCCATTCCCAAAGGGACCTGGGAGAGGAAAAGCCAGGCAGCTCTGCGGGCTTCTCTCTAAGCCCCTTCCCTAACCGCAGCCACAGCTCTCATCCCTTTGGCTGCCTGGGTCACTCATTGCTCAGGGAGGAGCTGCTGTCAGGTCCTTGGAGACCACATGATCTTCTCAAAGATAAAGCCAGGAGGACAGAGCGATCCTCCCTGGGGCTGGGTCACCCTGCCCTCTTCCAGCCCCATCCAATGTGGCACCGAGTCTGCCACGCAGTCATTCTGTCTGCCGACAGATCTGCTGGCCCAGCTCTGTGCTTAGCTCTCTGCTGGCTCCAGGAGAGGTCCTCACTTGCTGACCACACTGACCTCAGAACCAAGGGAACAAAACACAGCAGGGGCAATCCAACCCATCCACAGAAGTGCTGAACCCCAAAGGGTAAATGAGATTCCCACAGGAGGAGTGGGGGAGGGGTAGGGAAGAACAGGCAGGGTGGAGGGAACAGCATGAGGAAGAGCATTTGAGCCTGGCATGTGTGGCCTTCATGTGCTGAATGCGTAGTAGACATCAGCCTTGCTCCATGGAGGCCCCATGAAGATGGCTATGGATCACAGATATTCTCAGTGCTCTCCAGAGCTCAACAAAGTACTAGATGCTCCAGAAATGTTTGCTGAACTGCATTTGAATGAAAAGGAAAACAGCTTCAGGCCCGCATGGTGGCTCACACCTGTAATCTCAGCACTTTGGGAGGCCAAGGCGAGTGGATCACTTGAGGTTGGGGGTTCAAGACCAGCCTGGTCAACATGCTGAAACACCATTCTACTAAAAATACAAAAAATAGCTATATGTGGTAGGCGAGTGGCCTGTAATGCCAGCTACTTGGGATGCTGAGGCAGGAGAATTGCTTGAATCCAGGAGGCGGAGGTCACAGTAAGCTGAGATTGCACCACTGTACTCCAGCCTGGGTGACAGAGCAAGACTCTGTTTCAAAAAAAAAAAAAAAGGCCGGGCGCGGTGGCTCAAGCCTGTAATCCCAGCACTTTGGGAGGCCGAGGCGGGTGGATCACGAGGTCGAGAGATCGAGACCAACCTGGTCAACATGGTGAAACCCCGTCTCTACTAAAAATACAAAAAATTAGCTGGGCATGGTGGCACGTGCCTGTAATCCCAGCTACTCAGGAGGCTGAGGCAGGAGAATTGCTTGAACCCAGGAGGCGGAGGTTGCGGTGAGCCGAGATTGCGCCATTGCACTCCAGCCTGGGTAACAAGAGCGAAACTCCGTCTCAAAAAAAAAAAAGAAAAAAAAAAGAAAAGAGTCCCAAGCTGGCTATGCTTCTACCATTATCAGCACTTAGGAAGAACCTGGAACCATGAAAAGACTTTACCCACTTTAGCTCTGACCCCTCCATGGGGGTGAATATTAGTCTCCCTGATATTCAGTGGGGGAAACTGGGATATGGATGGGGGTGTCCTCCCAGGTAGGTCCTCCCTAATGCATTTGCCCATTCCAGGTCCCAGCTGCAGGGCAGCCATGAGCCTGGTGACCTGCGAGTGCTTGCCCAGCCCCGGCCTGGAGCCTGAGCCTTGCTCACGAGCACGGTCCCAGGCTCGCGTGTACCTGGAGCAGATTCGCAACAGGGTGGCTCTGGGGGCACCTGACATGACAAAGCGTGACTATCTGGTGGATGCGGCCACGCAGATCCGGCTGGCTCTGGAGCGAGACGTTAGTGAGGATTATGAGGCGGCCTTCAACCATTATCAGAATGGTGTGGACGTGCTGCTCCGTGGCATACACGGTGAGGACCGGGGCTGGGCGGGGCTGGGCAGGGGGGAGGGGCCAGGGCAGGGCTCCTCCTGTCACCCATCTGTCCTGTCCTCTGCCCATCCATACTGGGTGAGCAGGGCACTATGCTAGCCTGCAGAGCCTACATGAAGGACAGTGATAGCTGGCACTTACTAAGCAGTTCCTGTGTGCCAGGTACCATTCTAAGGGCTTTATGTAAACTCATTCATTTGAGTTTCACAGTAATAGAAATTACTATATATGTTCTTGTATGTTGTTCCAAGTACATAGGAACCATTTGTTTTATTACCATGTTCCAGATGAGGAAGCTGAGGCATGGGCAGTTAAATAGCTTGCTCAAGGCTCCACAGCTATGAAATGGCAGAGCTGGTGTCTGACTTCACAGGCTGTATACTTGGCCCCCGACACTTGACTGTCTGTGGAGCCAGGGTGCGCTCCTGCCCTCTGGGAGTTTGCATTCTAGTGAGGGGAGACTGATGAGTTGATTTGGACAATTACAGTCTCAGGTAGGAAGACGATTAGGGGGAAAGTGAAGGGAGGAAGGAGGGAAACTGAGTTCAGCCTGGGCCTGCCTAGAGCATTTTCTAGAGTTTAGATCTCTAATCTGAGCACTGGAGGGTGGTGGGTGCTGAAGGACTGGCTGGAGAGAGCGAGAACAGCCGAGGCGTGGAGGTGAAGGGAAGTTCCCTTCAGGGCAGCACGAGGAACTTCCACGCCGGGGGAGATGCTGGTGCTGAGGCCGTTTGAGATGCCTGTGGGCCCTGGTGGCCAGGCTGGGGGTGGGCATCGGGCCTTCTCTGCCATCCAACTAAAGAGACCCCTCAAGCTTGGGCTTCAGTCTGTTCAGTAAATTCCTTTATCCTCCGATCCTGGTCTCCACCCTAGCCTCCTTCACAGTGGGCATCAGAGATGGAAGAAGCAATGCTCTCTGAATCTTCTGTCCCCTCTGAAAAAAATGGATGGGGAAATCCCCACCCTGTCCCTTCCCAGGGTGTGACAGCTGCCAGCAAGGCAGAGGGTGCCAACAGCGAAGTGCTGTCTGCTGAGGAGTGGTCCTGGTTCCTAACTTCCTCCTGCCAGCTCCCGTCCTCATTCCTGGCTGGTCCCCTACCCCAGAGGAGGGGCTCACGAAGCCATCTGGGGGCAGAATCTGCCAAACAAGACTTAGAAACGGGAGCTCCCTCCTGGGGAGGGCAGGAGGGTAGGCAATGGAGCTAGGACTCTAGCCCTCTGAGGCCAGGGCTGGGGACCCTGGTGACCCTCGTCCCCCACAGTCGATCCCAACAAGGAGCGACGTGAGGCTGTGAAGCTGAAAATTACCAAGTACCTGCGGCGGGCGGAGGAGATCTTCAACTGCCACCTGCAGTGGCCACTGGGGAGCGGAGCCAGTCCCAGCATGGTGAGGAGACCCCCTGTTCAAAGGCCTGAGCAGGAGGCAGGCTCTGAGGGGAGACTGCAGAGACCCCAACACCCACAGGCCCACCCTGGGTTGCAGAGCAGGGGCTGGCAGTGGAGGCATTAGTCCGGCTGGAGTGTGCCAGGGCAGCCCATCCTCTTCTCCCGCTGGCTTCCTTTCTCTCCCATGCCTCATGGTTCATTCATTTCCAAACGACCCACTGAGTCATATTCAGTTCAGTCTGCTCCCTCACAGAGCACTTGACATGTGCACATATATATCTGCCAGCCTTGCACACAGGTCCATGTACACATTTATGTGTGTCCACATTCAGAGCCTCCTGATTCTGTCTCTGTTGTGAACTGGCATACGTTTTGCAGCAGACCGCGACACCCACGTATGCACACACACACACTCCCCACGTGGCTTCTCTAAACCAGGAAGTGCTCAGTGAGGGTGGAGGATGCACACGGGCTTCTTACCCCACAGACGCGCACGATCACACAGTCCTCCTCGGCTCTGCATCTTGTGAGGCTGCCTTTCCCCAGAGCAGGTGCTTGGTCTTTGAGGCATGTTCCCTGAGACTCAGTTTCCCAGGTTATTTCCCTACCCCCATCTTGGGAGCTTCTGCTTTTTTTGAGACGGAGTCTCACTTTGTCACCCAGGCTGGAGTGCAATGGCATAATCTTGGCTCACTGCAACCTTTGCCTCCCAGGTTCAAGCAATTCTCCTGTCTCAGCAGCCCAAGTATCTGGGATTCTAGGCAGGCGCCATCACGCCTGGCCAATTTTTTTATTTTAGTAGAGCTGGGGTTTCACCATATTGGCCAGGCTGGTCTCAACCTCCTGACCTCAGGTGATCTGCCCGCCTCGGCCTCCCAAAGTGCTGAGATTACAGGCATGAGCCATAGCACGTGGCCTGGATGGGGCTTTTGAGAGGAGGCTTCTGAAGCCCCAAGAACTTCACGGGCCTTAGAAGGGGCTGAGCAGAGAGGTTGGCCTGGCTACCCTGGCCACCCTGGATAGGTATGGGTGCCTGTCAGCCAAGGCCAGCTTTTCCACCCAGCCTGCCCCTGTGAGGCAGGTCCTGCCTGTCCCCCTGCCTTCCCCACTGCTCTCCTAGCCTCCAGAAGCCCCTGCCTGAAGCCTGGTGAGAAGGCCGTGGCTGAGGACGGCTTGGCCCTGAGGCTTCGTGTGACCTGTCTCCCTCCTCTGCAGGGTTTCAGCAGCCTGAGGCTCCGGCCCATCCGCACGCTGAGCTCTGGCTTGGAGCAGCTGAGGGGCTGCAGGGTGGTCGGGGTCATCGAGAAGGTGAGTAAGCACTTGTCTTGCAGGAGGGAGACAGGGTATGCAATTTGGGGTGGTGGCGGGGAGAGAGATGGGATGTGGTGAAAGCAGGTCTGTAGCAGTGGCCCCCACTCCTCCAGAGAAGGGGAGCAGGGGTCAGAGGGGAATGCAGCTGTGTCCAGCAGTTCCCACCTCTCCCCGACCCCCAACACACATGACTTTGTCCTGGGTCCTGGAGAGGAAAATGCAGGGAACGAGAAGAGGCTGGTTGGCCAGGCACAGTGGCTCACCTGGAATCCCAGCACTTTGGGAGGCCAAGGCAAGAGGACTGCTTGAGCCCAGGAGGATCAGCCAGGGCAACAGAGTGAGACCCCATCTCAACTCAAATCAAATAATATAAAATATAAATGTAAAATATAATATAAAAAGAGGAGGCAGACAGTCGCTTTCCACAGCCCTGAAGCTCAGACCCAGAAAACCTGCTCCTTGGGAGAGTTGGGACAGAAACTGCAGGAGGAGCGAGGCGCTGTGCCCAGGCGCCCTGCCAGCCCTCGAGGCCTTGCTCACTCCCACTTCCCGATTCCCACAGCACCCCCACCATACTCACCCTGAACCCCAGGGCTGCAGCCAAGACGCTCCACGGAGCACAGCTGGGGACATCCTGCAGCTGGGACGTGCTCCTCTCCAGAAACCTGTCCAGAGAGGGCCTGCGCTGGCCCGTCCTTGCCCAGGGCCTTGGCAAGTCTGCCCCTTTTTTCTCTCTGACCTAACCCTAACTTCACCCTATCTCAACCCCATCTCGCACCCTTTGCCTTGTTCAGGGCAGACAAGAAGATAGGCGGCAAGGTCCCAACCCTTACTCGGGACACTCGTTATTAGAGTGAAGGAATCAGCAGGACAGAGAATGAGGTCAAGTGAGAGTCCAGCCGGTACGAGGTTCCCCTCTTCCCCCGAACCCTGGAATAGTCACCCAAGAAGTTGTTTACCAAGCTGGTTAAAGGGAGAGCTTCCTAAAAATACAGCTGCACAAGAATCTGTTATTTAACATACTCACCAGGTGATTCTGGGGGATCTGGGGGCCCACGGAGAAAAGGAGACAGTCCTGTGCTTCCCACCAGCAAGAGGCTGACATGCTGCCTGCAGGACGGCCCCATGCTGAGCACCAGCCAGGGTGGCCACAGGCAAGCCCCCTGTTCTGAGCTTTGGTTTCCTCCTCTGGAAAGTGAGATGAGAATTCTCCCCCTATGGGGTGATCTGGGAGGTAAAATAATTTTGGGGAAAGACCTGGCACATGCTATGACACTGAGTACATGCTTGATGGCTCTAAATACTAGTGACAGGAGTGAGCCGGGAGGCACGCAGGCTCCTGTTCCCAGGGCTTACTCTGGCAGCTCCTCCTGGATCCCTGCACTGCTGACCCCAGACGGTCAGCGCAGGCCCTGCCAGCTTCCATCTGCCACGGTCCCCTCCCCACTGCTCCAGTGTCAGTGGCCACGACCCGACCTTGGCTCAGCACAGCCGCTCCCAGAAACCTGCGGGGAGGTGACCGACAGACACCAGGCCTCCCAGTAAGATCCTGCTGAACCGTATGTGTTATGGCGAGAGGGGTTCTGAGCTGAGTACGGTAGGGAAACAGTGAGTTCAAGTTACATTGCTTTGTTTTTTAATGATAGGAGTGCTTAGAGGTTTTAGATGCAAATTTACACTGTGATACAGAATTCACCAAACTTGTTTAGCCTCAGGAAAGTGGTTTAGGAATCTAGTGTTTCGAGGCCACTGCAGATGGCTGGAAAGCACAAATTAAGGCCAAGCCCAACCATTCTTTCTTTCTTTTTTTTTTTTTTTTGACATAGGGTCTTGCTCTGTAGCTCAGGCTGGAGTGCAGTGGTGTGATCTCACTGCAGCCTCGACCCACCAGGCTCAAGCAATCCTTCCGCCTCAGCCTCCTGAGTAGCTGGAACCACAGGCTCAAGCCCTGTTCATTTCTTCTGTTTTTTTTGTAGAGCGATCTCGCGGTGTTGCCCAGGCTGGTCTCAAACTCCCTGCGTCAGGTGTCCTCCCACCTCCGTCTTAGCCTCCCAAAGCACTTGGGATGACAGGCGTGAACCACTGGCCTGGCCCATTCTGTTTCAGGACTGCCCTGCTTTTTTTTCTTTTTTACTCTGTCTTGGATACTCAAAGACTTCACCTCCCTCCTGAGATTCTACTTCCTTTCCCTGTGTTGTGCCCACACCAGGAGCAGCACTTTCCCCAAAGTAGGAAAGCTATTCCTTCCTCTGGGCCTGGGTTGGATGTGCTGTCGCCTTCATTCTATTCCACAGCTCTGCCCAGGCAGATCTGGGCAAGTGGGCAGTGCCAGCCAGCAGCAACCCCTAGGTTCAGGGAGGAAGCAAAGGGCTGGCTCGGGATGATGCTTAAGTGAACCCTAATGTGTCTGGCTGTTAGAGTAACTAGGGGCTGAGGAGGTGGCGGCATGGAGCAGTGAGGTGGGTGGGTTGAGACTTGGTAAGCAGCCAGAATACCCAAGGGCTTGCCCTCAGAGCCTGGGGGCCAGGGAGACATCACTGGGTATTGGCTGAGCTTTGTCCAGGAGCTAGATTCTGAGAAGGGGTGGAAGAAGAAAAAGAAGGTCATCCAAGTCACTTCTTCTTTTATTTGGCTTGACACAGGGGTGTTTTTAATTGTTACCAACATTTTTAAATGTGCAGATTTTTATAAAAGTCCAGATTTCCTGCTTCTCTTGAAAAAATTAGATCTGGAAACCCTTGGGTTCCCATTCTCCCATGGCAGCAGGGAGTGGGGGAGGGAGATGCTTGCTTTAGATGGGGCACCCATCCCCCAGCTGCGCTTCCGCCCTGTCCATTTGCTCACATGCCTGGCCCCTGTGGGCCTTTGAGTTTAAGAACCTGTTTGATTTTTTTTATTTTTTCTTTGAGATGGAGTTTCACTCTTGTTGCCCAGGCTGGAGTGCAATGGCATGAACTCAGCTCACCACAACCTCCGCCTCCCAGGTTCAAGCGATTTTCCTGCCTCAGCCTCCTGAGTAGCTGGGATTGCAGGCATGCGCCACCACGCCCAGCTAATTTTGTATTTTTAGCAGAAACAGGGTTTCTCCATATTGGTCAGGTTGGTCTCAAATTCCCAACCTCAGGTCATCCACCTGCCTTGACCTCCCGAAGTGCTGAGATTACAGGCGTGGGCTACCACACCCAGCCTCCTGTTTGAAACCTTTAGGCTTGTTTGTTCTGTGGGAGATTCCTCCTGGGCTTTTGATACTCTGTGCATCTTTAAAGAAAACGTTTACCTTCACCAAAGCTTTAATTGTCCCTCTGTCCCAAGAACTCTGTGGGTCTCTATTTAAAAATATTGCCCTTTTTTAAAAGGTGAGAGAAAACACTCAGAACTGCCTTCCGTCTTCCCAAATGGAGGGCGCACCTGACGGCTGAATGGAACCTTCTCATTTCCTCCATCCCCCAAACCACTGAGTAAAAGGGGTTTCTTATTTGTTTGAATGAATGGGAAAATGCCCCCCACTCTGCTGCTCTTTCAAAATATGAGAGAAAAAAAAAATCCCCCTAATATCCTACCTAACTCCAAGATAATCCAAGATAATCATTGTTAATGTTTTAGTCTAATTCTTTTTGGATAATGAGGTTGGTTTTAATTTTTTTAACAGAAATATTTCAGTGGATGGATCAAGGTTTATTTCCGGTTTCCCCAGACTTCTCTCTTTTGCTAGTGTTTTTTTTTTTTTTTTTTTTTTTTTGACTCTGTCAATTAGAGGGCCTTGCCCAGGACAAGGTGGCGGGGAATCCCACTTGGCAAGTGATGGTGGGGAATTATCCAGGGTGTCAGGATTTGTGGGAAACTCTGCTCTCCTAAATGATTCCAGAGTTTTCTTCCTTGCTTTTTCAAACATTGCACAAGTTTGGTCAGGGAGCCAAGCCCAGGCTGGACTTGGTCTCCGGCTGTTGGAGGAGAGACCTCTGGTGGTCAAACAGAACACCTTGCTCCTGCTGCAAAAGGTCCTGGGTGCCCATCTAGTCCGCGGCCTTCCTTTTACTGATGATGGAGAAATAGGCTCAGGCGGGAAGGCCCTTGCCAAGGGCGCCTTGTTGTGCCCCTAGTTCTAGTAAAGTCTGAGGGGCTCTGGGATTGGTCTGCCTGGGCTCAAGTCCTATGTCTCAGGGCAGGCCAACAGCCAAGGAGTCACACCACCAGGGTCTAACCTTGCTCCACACGCCCTCACTCACCTGGGCTGAATCCTCTGCCTTTCCGCCCTCGAGGTACCCATGTACCGCTGCAGTGTGCCCCTGCCCACCATGCAGATGAGTCAAGGACCCAACTCCAAACATGGCCCTGACCCTGCGATTGGCAGCCTCTGCCTCTAATAGAAACCAACACAAGGAGAGGACGGCCTCCCAAGGGAACTTTACAAGTTTTATTCAGTCAGGAGCCCATACGCAGGTTTTCCACATAAGCTTGTGTCATGGGGGTTTGTGTAAATGAAGGGGGTGGAATGGGGAAGAGGCCTGAAGGCAGTGTGCCAAGCCTGTACAACGTGGCTGCGCTGTCAATTGTAAAACAGCTCCGAGGCCAGGTGCAGTGGCTCATGCCTGTAATTGCAGCACTTGAGGAGGCCAAGGCAGGAGGATCACAAGGAGATATTGAGACCATCCTGGCCAACATGGTGAAACCACGTTCCTACTAAAATTAAAATCAGCTGGGTGTGGTGGTGCATGCCTATAGTCCCAGCTATGTGGGAGGCTGAGGCAGGGGAAATGCTTCAACCTGGGAGGTGGATTGCAGTGAGCCGAGATTGTGCCACTGCACTCCAGCCTGGCAACCAAGCAATACTCCATCTCAAAAAAAAAAAAAGGATCAGAGAAAGTGACTGGCTCTGAGGTCCCTTCCAGCTGTGACACCTCAAACCCTGCAGGATGGTGGTGTTCTGCCCAAGGCCTTGGGCGAGGGGTTGACCTCCAGTGGGTCCAGGTGGAACGGGGCTTTCTCAGCCCTCCCCTCGGGGGGAACGGGGCCTGGGCCAGCATGGGCAGGGAGAGAAAGGGAATTCTCACATGCTCACCACACACACAGGCTGAGCCGAAGCTAGGGCTGCTCACAGCGCATGTGTCCAACATCTACCACATCCCTGTGCTGTGCGGGGCTCTGGGAATACACAGCTCACAGTCCAGTGGGAAGACAGATTAGACAGGGTGAAGAGGCTCTGAGGGTAAACCCAGAGAGCATGGGAGACGGGTTAGGGACTCCAGCCCCTGTAGTCTTGGAAAGGCTTCCTGGAGGAGGCAGCATCTGAGACCACAGGTCTAGCAAGGGTGGATGAGCAGGGAATCGATGTCAGCTTCGGGAGTGCCACCAAAGCCTGCCCTCCCTGCCCTGCCACTGGAGTGAAACAGCCTCAGTGGAGGAACCTGGGTAGGGGGTGGTCAGGCTGGGGTCATGAAGCCCCGAGAGCTAGCACACACCTTAACCAGTGCCTCTTGTATTTTGGTAGGTGCAGCTGGTCCAGGACCCGGCAACCGGAGGGACCTTCGTGGTCAAGGCAGGTGCCACCCAGCCTCTGCCACTCTGCATTCCCCTTGGGTCGTTCTCAGGGCTCTTAGAGACTCCTATGCAGAACCTGCATCTGAAGCATATGCTCCCTCCCCCGAAAAGCTGCTTGTTTTGCCCAAGCATCCCCCACTTTCCAGATGGACATCCACACTCTCATGTACACACACACGTGTGTACGCATACTGCCTCCTCTTTGGCCAGAGGGTGGAGGACCCAGATTCTACAGGGGTAATGGGGGTAAGGCAGGTCAGGAACTGGGGGAGACAGTTGTTCCACTCCTCATTGGGGCACCCCGAAACCAGGGCTAGGAGGTCCCCTAACAGCAGCAGTCTCTGGCCTGTCCCAAGCTGATCTGTCTTCCCTGCCCCTCCCAGAGCCTACCCAGGTGCCACATGGTAAGCCGGGAGCGACTGACCATCATCCCACATGGAGTCCCCTACATGACGAAGTTGCTCAGGTACTTTGTGAGCGAGGACTCCATCTTCCTGCACCTGGAGCATGTGCAAGGTGAGCAGGCTGGGGGCCCCCATCTTCTCCTTGGGCCTTTGGGGTATGTCATCAACTCTTAAAATGCTGAGTCCTCGTGGAGCATGGGGGCTCAGGCCTGCAATCCCAGCACTTTGAGAGGCCGAGGCAGGCAGGTCACCTGAGGTCAACAGTTGGAGACCAGCCTGGCCAACGTGGTGAAACCCCATCTCTACTAAAAATACAAAAACTATTTGGGCGTGGTTGCACATGCCTGTAATCTCAGCTACTTGGGAGGTTGAGGCAGGAGAATTGCTTGAACCCTGAAAGTGAAGGCTGCAGTGAGCTGATAACACGCCACTGCACTCCAGCCTGGGTGACAGCAAGACTCGGCCTCAAAAAAAGAAAGCCAAGTTCTGGGGAGGGGCGCACAGACCAGAGAACCTGGCCTTTCTGGAGGCCAGTCAGGCTGCTGTGGGCCTGTGGTGGTGCCAAGGGGGCAGGGGACATCCTGGGGAGGATGTCCACATTATGGGCGGGCGTGAGAATTGCAGCTGTCTCCTTTGTTGCCATTTCCTCCAGCGTTGGCTCTTTTTATTTTTCTGGGCTGTGCTGATCCCTTGGGAGTGGCCAGACAGGGTGGTGGTGACTGAAGCTATGAGGACAGGAACTGGGCCATGTGGCAGATACTGCCGATTATATTGATGACCTTTAAACAGGTACATATCCTGGGATCATGACACATAGTCATTATAAGCCTCCGTGGTCTTAAGTCAGTCTCCCTAAAAACAAGTGTTCACACTGGTAAGACCACCACCCAAACCAAAAACATGGACAGCGCTATCCATCTATCTGTGGTGTGTCAGTTGGTGAGGCTGGGGCTGCTTTGTGTGTTTGTGTGTGTGTGGTGGGGGGGGGGGGGGTCAAAAGGGGCAGAGGTAATTCTAAGCTGAGGGGTGAGAGGGAGCACTGGTGAGAGGCTGAACTAGGCCAGGACACCCAGAGGCAGAAGATCTGTGCCCAAGACAGAGGAGAGGTAGGAACTGGACCAGGGCCTGGCATCCACACTCTTTCTCCCTGTCCCCATGCTCACTGCTCCCTCTGCATGGCCCAGGAGGCACTCTCTGGTCCCACCTGCTCTCCCAGGCGCACCCGCGACATTCTGGGCTCAGGTCTGACTCTACCCAGGAGAAGATGAAGGCTCAGCTCAACCCACACCTCAACCTCCTATGCCCAGCAAGGCTCCCCTCAGGCCATGCCCCTGGGCAGGACAGAATCACACTGGAGCCTCCTAGGACTTCTCTGAGCCTTCCCCCAGCCGGGGAGGCCCTATCCACCAGACCCCAGAGGGAGACTGAAGGTGAACCCACAGACAGGACCAGCACCTCTGGTTCCCTGGACCTTCCAAAGGCCCCAAGTGACCACCTGTACCTTCAAGCAAGACGGGCTGGCCAGAACTCAGACACTGGGACCTCTCAGGGACTCACTTGGGTTCCTGAGGGGGCTGGCCCAGTGCTGGGCAAGAATCAGAGTTGCCTGTCAGTGGATGGGGCTGGCCCGGGCTGTGGCAGTGCCACCTGGAGAGTGAGGGAGGAACAGGTGAAGCAGTGGGCTGCGGAGACGCTGGTAGCACTGGAGGCGCTGCATGAGCAGGGGGTGCTGTGTCGGGACCTCCACCCCGAGAACCTGCTCCTGGACCAGGCAGGTAGGTGCCCTTCCCACCCCTCAGGGGAACAACCCCCCAAGCCTCCAGGCAGAGGAGAGATCCCCACAGTCGAGGAGACCTCCAAGATTGTCTGTCTGCTCCTCCCCAGCCCCACCCAGCATTTCAGTGGGCCTATGCCCGAGTCTGTAGGCAAGGCTCCTGGGAGTACCCTGTGTTCTGGGGGCCTCAGGGTGCTGTGCCCCTGTGGAGGTTCTGCCCGGCATGGCCATCGGCTCCCACTGCATGACTGTGAGGGGAAGCTCTGGAATCCTTCCCCTTGTCAGCTGTCCTCAATCTTTGTCCCTCCTTTTTCCTCCTACGCACACTGGAGAAGGTCACATCCGGCTCACATATTTTGGCCAGTGGTCAGAGGTGGAGCCCCAGTGCTGCGGGGAGGCCCTGGACAATCTCTACAGCGCCCCAGGCAAGAAGGGGGAAGGCCAGGTGGCCCCTGGGTACCTTTGTGGGGGTTGTGCCTGGAGTCTGAGAAGGAGAGAGGGAATGACTGGGGTCAGGGTAGGACGAGAATGGAAGAGGCCCTCTTGAGTGAGGCTGGGACCCTTGTGCTCTTGTTCCCACAGAGGTGGGTGGGATTTCAGAGCTGACAGAAGCCTGTGACTGGTGGAGCTTTGGGTCTCTACTGTATGAGCTGCTGACAGGAATGGTGAGTGGCTGGGCTGGGTGTAGTACCCTGGTGGGTGCCACTGAGTGTGGGATGGGCAGAGGCTGCCTGGCTGTCCTGCCCGCACAGCTGCCCCAGAAGCCAGAGACACACTTAGCTGGCTACAGCTAAGGAGACTGTCAACTTCTATGAAGGAGAGTCAAGTGGGACGGTCAGGGGTTTCTGCCAGAGCGTGCCTGGGCCCAAGTTTGGAGGGAGCACAGAATGTGTCACAGCCCTTCCTCCCAGGAAGGCTGTTGATCATCCTGAGCCTCACTCCTCCCACCCATACCCTCCGGGGCTGTCACCTCCAGACCTTAGCTGGAGGCTGGGAAAGATGGGCTCTTTCACCCAGGCAAGCAGCTTCCCTGTCCAGCCTTGGTCAGCCATAAGCTCAAAAGATCCCCCTGCAAACACCCAGGGAACCTGTGCACAGGATGAGGGCTCTGCCTTCTGTCCTCTCTCATGAGCTCAGCACTGCAACGGAGGCCAGTCATGTAGGCAGCAAGAGAGGCCAAACTGCATTTTAGCCAGAATGGATGTAGTGTGAACTGAAGTCCAGACCTGACCAGCCCATCCTGGCTCCCTCCTGCTTTCATCCCATGTCATAGGGCCCTAAGAGCCCTGGCTGCAAATACCCCCCAGTGGCTCTCCTCCCTGTCTCCTCCCACCTCTCTAGCCCAGAGTTCCTGGCCCTCCTCCTGGGGCTTCCTGGAAGCTCATACTTCCCTCCAGACAGACCCTCTGTTCCCCGAAGCTGTGGCTTTCTGGGGTGTGGAGAGGTCCTATTTTCTTTTCTTGCCACATCCCTGCCTTGGCCCTGATGGTAACATGCCACAGCCTGCTGCAAAACGAATAGTCCACGTGGATTTTTAAACAAGATGAGTCCCATCACTGTTCCCAAGAGTGCCTGCCCTGACTGCAACCCAAGATCGAGGCTTCTAGTAAGCTTAGAGCCACAAGAGACCTAGGTCCAAACCCTGAACTCAGCACAAGTCCCTTTACCTCTCTGGGCCTGTTTCTTGCCTTTAGTGGATAATGTGAAGGCACTGCTTAGGCATCTAGCACTGTGTCTGGCCGTAGCAACTATCATCATTACTGTCGTCATCCTGATGGGATGTGACATGGGGAAAATCCTGGCTGCCACTGGAACACAGACAGGCCTGAGGTTGCCTCCTCAGAGGCCCTTCCCTGTGTCCTCTCAGGCACTGTCCCAGAGCCACCCTTCAGGAATCCAGGCCCACACCCAGCTCCAGCTGCCCGACTGGCTGAGTCGCCCAGCGGCCTCTCTGCTGACTGAGGTGAGGTGTAGCCCAGCCAGAGGAAGCAGCGGCCTGGCCTAAGGAAGGTGCTGGGAGGGGTGCAGAACCGTGTGTGTGAACCATGTGTGCTTCATACTCAGTGTCTGATGTGGGTGCAGAGGGCCATAGGGTAAACACAGTTCTGTAAGTTGATGGCCAACCACCACCACTGTCCCCAGGGTAAAAAGGGGGTTCCGTGGGCTAGGGTGCCAGGGAGCAAGCCCCCTAAAGAGCCATAGTGGTCAAAGTCCCTGGAGGTCAGCCCATGCCTCTGCAGCGGGAGTGGGGAAAGCCAGCTGACTGGGCCTCTTTCTACAGCTGCTGCAGTTCGAGCCTACCCGGCGCCTGGGCGTGGGAGAAGGTGGTGTCAGCAAACTCAAGTCCCATCCCTTTTTCAGTACCATCCAGTGGAGCAAACTGGTGGGGTAAGAGGGCAGAGCGGGCAATGCAAGCAGCTGGCCTGGATCTCCTCTCCTCCTTGCCCGACATCCAGGGCTGGCCTTCCATCAACAGGCTTTGGGCGAGGAATGGAGGACACTGCCTGTCCTGCTGGGCTCCTGCCAGGGCCTCAGAATTATGGCCATATGGCCGTCTTCCAGTAAGGGCCAGCTCCTGGAAAAGTAGGGGGTGGGGGCAGTCAAGGCTCACCCTGCTAAACAGCTTGAACCTTCCACCCGCCAGTCAACAGACCTGTTGAGCATGCAGACTCACCATGTTCCAGGGTGCCTTCTGTGGCACTGGCGCTGAGCTGACCACCTGCTGCGTCTACAGTGAGGTTCTGTGACCCACTCACTGCCATGTTGTGCCCTACTCGGGACATCTCTGGAGACTCATCTCAGGACACTGATCCACTGGCTCAGTGGACCCAAACCAGGCTGTCCTGGCTGGTCATTTTATTCACACGAGTGGGGCTTTTCCACTAGAAGCTGTTCCTGCAGCTGGGGAGGCCCAGAAGCAGGGATGCCACCTGTAGTGCAGGGAGGGATGAGGTGGGGGACAGGATTCCCCCATTCCTGAACATGCCCCCTATATTGTGATTTCAGACTTGTGAGAGCAAAAGGGAGGGGAAGAAAATAAGAGAAATGGGGGAAGAAGGAATGCACAGCTCTGCTCCTTAGAGCAAGTCAGACATCAGAATCAAGAGCTCTCTTCCCCAGGGGCCCACCTCTGTGTGGGGAGGGGGCAGCATGCCCCAGGGGCACAAAAGGACAGCAATTCAGCCTCCAGGCCAAAGCAGCTAAAGGTTTGCCCATTAAGACTCCCTCTCAGGCCTTGGTTCTGTTACCATGTCACTGCCTACTGTGACTTCACACCCTTTGAGATAAGAAACCCCAAAACACATAACGACTATACATGGCTCAGCCAGAAGTCTTGCTTCTGGTCTCTGAAAAACTGGGGTGAGTGGTTACTATAAGATAACTGCCCCCAGTTTGGGGTTTCACTTCGGGGTTCACCCTGTCACTGGGGTATGGGACCTTAGAAACTAGACTTTTGCTCCCAACTCCTCCCTGCCAGCATCCCAGTCACCACCAGGTGGCGCTTCGGACACGGTTCTCCCGTCTGGCTCTGAAGGCCCAACTCTTGTCAGGCCAGACTCCTGTCATGGCCTGACTTCCTCCGGCTCTGCAGGAGACTGCAACAGAGGACATGCAAAAGTGCAACCTGTATATAACTCTGTGCTCTACATCCTGGCTCTCCCTGGGGCTTACCCAGCCCCAATAAAGCCTGCATCGGCCTATGTGCTCTCGCTTCAGTGCAGTGAGTGAGCGTGGCTCTTGGGGCAGGTTGGAAGGCTCTTGCCATAGAAACTCGAGTGAAATCAAGAGGATGGAGGCTGCCAGGAAGTAGGACGAAAGGCTGGTGGTGAACAGCTCGCCACCTGTGCCCTGGGCCTCAGGGGAAGTGGGACGGGGGGCGGACTGGGCTCTGTGGGGAAGCAGAAAAGGATGTGAAGCCTTCGAAGAGGCTTAAGGTTCCTGAGGGGAACACCAGTTTCGTCCTCAGTGACCCCTTCCAACAGAAAACTGAAGCTCAAAGAGGTTAAGAACACAACCTGGCCAGTTACAAGTTAAGTGTTCCTTCTGCTACTCTTTGTAAGGCTGGACCACTTCTAACCACTGCTTCATAAAACACAAGTCACTTCTGGAACTTCTGTGCCTCATCCATCCAACACTACACATCTGGCACTTTGTTGGGCCCTGAGTTTAGAACACTGTGGGTCCCAGCTCTCATAGTCGACCTCCTTTCAATAAAATGGGGCAAGTAAGGCCGGGCGTGATGGCTCAAGCCTGTAATCCCAGCACTTTGGGAGGCCGACGCGGGTGGATCACGAGGTCAAGAGATCGAGACCATCCTGGTCAACATGGTGAAACCCAGTCTCTACTAAAAATATAAAAAAATTAGCTGGGCACGGTGGCACGTGCCTGTAATCCCAGCTACTCAGGAGGCTGAGGCAGAATTGCCTGAACCCAGGAGGCAGAGGTTGCAGTGAGCCGAGGTCACGCCATTGCACTCCAGCCTGGGTAACAAGAGCGAAATTCTGCCTCAAAAAAAAAAAAAAAAAAAAAAAAAAAAAATGGGGCAAGTAATGCCTACTTTGCAGGTTTACCAGAGAAATGAAAGCTTCTAACACTAAGTCCTGTTCTTCCTTTCATTCAACCTAATTCTTTTTTCTATCTATTAAAAGATCTAGTTCTGCCCTCTGGGACCCACTTCCTTCACGTGACAGACCTTCACAGAGGGATGGCCTCACAGCAAGAGTGCTCAGCAGACAGGAACTCTGGAAGGACAAGGCTGTGTTTAAGCCTGGATGCCATCACACCTGCCACCTGCAGTCTAGGTTAGCTACCAACCCTATGCACTCACCCTCACTGACCACTGCTTCTAGGCGGCCATCAACCCTCACCTATTCATCTGTATTGACCTTGAGCATCTTGGTACATGAGGTAATCAAATCCAAATGAAATGAGGTACCCCCACCCCTCCCCAATCCATCACTGAAATAATGCAAGCCCCCACAAAAAATGTAAGTCTACTGGTACTTGGAAAGGGCTTCACAAAAGACAGTGATCCCAAATTCTAGAGTACGGCTTGACAGGCTCAAGGAAGCTGTGGAAGTAAGAGGCTATGATGCTTCTGGAAACTAAAATTCTAAGCCCCCCAACTATCTGCATGGACTCCTCCTCCTCAGTCACGGGCATTCCAAAGTTAACCTGAAAAGCTAGTTCAGGCCATGGTGGGAAGAAGGAGTCAGCCATGCCTCATTATACCCCCCTCCCTTTTGGAATTACTGTTAAAACAGACTCCTTAAGTCTGATGAGAAACATTTACAATCTATTTTCTCTGAAGCCTGCTGACTGGAGGCTTCATCTGCATGATAAAACCTTGGTCTTCACAACCCCTTTTTGTAACACACATACTCCTTTCTATGAATTCCAGATCTTTAATAACTTTTCAACCAACTGCCAATAAGAAAATCTTTGATTCTGCCTATGACAGCACCCCTGGGCCTTGAGTTGTCTTGCCTCTCCAGACCAAAGCACTATGTATCTTACATGTATTGACTGGTGTCTCACGTTTCGCTAAAACGCATAAAACTAAGTTGTAGCCAAACAAACCACCTTGGGCACACGTTCTCAGATCTCCTAAAAGTTGTGTCACAGGCCACTGCTCACTCACATTTGGCTCAGAATCTCTTCAAATATTTTAAAGAGGTTGACTCTTTGTGTCAACACTTACCTGGCTAAGAGCCAGGGTTGTACCTTCTGTCAAATTAGGATAGTGTTAACTTCCACATGTGGGATTTCACGAGATAAGCAACAGAACCTTAAGTGGCTTTCAATACTAATAGTGCCAGTGTAACAGTGCTGCGGACCTGAACCTCCACAGCCAGAAGGAGCACAGATGCAGGAACCCTGTTTGAGAACATCTGCCCTTTAATTTGCATTTAAAATCTTTCTTTAAATACTTCAGTTACAAGTTCTGAATAGTGAAGACAGAGTAGTAGATGCTGCAGGCACTCAGTATTGGCTCCCACCCCTTCCCCCCACCCCCACCCCAGACCTCACTTCTTGGCTCAAAATATAAAAGGGCACTTTCTAATGGCCCCAGTGTCAAATGTCAGCAGCCTCAGGCCTGGATGCAGTTAGATACAAAGCCATGAATCCCAGTAGCTTTCACAAGATACTTGCATTTAACCATACTCCAAGGAAATCCAATGATTGTGCCCAGATCCAAGGGTAGCACACCTTAGAAATGACCTCAACCATTTCACCACAATGCACTAACACCCTCAGGGTGGCTTCCTACCATAGTCCATTGTCCTTCAGATCTGTGTCCTGCAGAGGAAGAGACAAGACCCCGCTATAACGCAGGAAGGAACAAGAACTGCCTCCTCAGCCCACGTGCTTAACACCAACTTAATTGAAAAGCTCAAGTCAATTTGAGGCAGTCTAAAGGAGACCTCCCTTCCCTAGTCTCTACCAGGCTCTGGCCCTTCCTCGGGACCATGCTTGGTTCCACTGCCATGATGTGGTAGAATCTGCTCTAAATAAGAACAAGCTGCTGGAATAAGGCCCACCAACCAGGAAAGGGTTTAGAAAGGGTTGCCACAACCCCAGCTGTGAGAGACTGTGCCAAGACAGATCTTGGTGTGAGCCTATGATGGAGAGCATGAGGGCAAGTCTGGGCTCTCCTTCCATGAGGATTACATGTGACCTCAGGGGACCTCTGCCCTCTTCTCCCACTCACCCACCGAGATCCCCTGGCCTGTGCTTCCTGGAAGAGGTAGAAGAGGCATCTTGAAGTCAATGACAACAGAGAATGAAGGTGCCATTTAAGAAACAAAGCAGCACCTCTCTGCCTGTGTTCAATCCCTCCACACAGGTGGAATCAAGTGAGAATGTGCACAGCCAGGACAGAGGCTGCTCTGAGCTTGAGAGGCAACAGCATCCTCCTAGTCGTCTCTGCAGAACAGACTTTCTGAAGACAGGAACTTAATCATGTGGTCCCCAGGGGTTTCTCTATAGTATACTGGCACTAGGAAGAAGGAAAATCATCTTTGCAGAGGGCTGATGGAAGAAAGGCAGGAATATTAATGAGCATCCATTAAGGCTCTCTCTCTCAAGCCTAAGGAATTAAGATATTCAAGGGTGTGAGACAGGTGCAGAGAGGGAGAGAGCCTGGCAGGAACACCAAGAAAAGACCTGTGACTGCTGGTTACATAGTGCTCTGCTTCCTTGCTTGAGGCCAACAGCATGTGCCTGCCTGTCACCAGGCTAACCTGGGACCCATGACGGGGCAGGGGTAAGACTGATTTTCAGTTCCTGCATGATTTGTAGGGTGTGTGGCTTCCTCCTAAAGATCCAAGAGGAGGACTCTGGGATCCTCTACTGCTGCCTTGATTTTGCGGAGGAAAGTCACAGCCTCTCTTCCATCAATCAGCCGGTGATCGTAGGTCAGTGCCACATACATCATGGGCCGCACCTCCACCTACAGAGAGGAAAGGTAAATAGGTTTGTCTCCAGCAAGCCACAGACAGCCTTGCTGAAGGAGGAGATTCAGCATGGCCCATAAGAAAGTTCCCAATTCCAGAACCTTTCCTACTGATGTTGCCTCAGCATATTTACAGTATTTTCAAAGACGAAGCCTTACCCTCAGTGCAAAGCCTCCCCACTCAGAAAGTTTACGAAGAAAACTGTTTTCTCACAACTGCCTTTTATATTTTGGTTTCGCACGGGAGTTAGTGACCCAAAAGGATTCTAAACACAAGAATTCCCAGAAAGGTTTTTGATACCAACATAACTTCCAAGGGCCAGCTCAAGCCCCTTTTAATACTTCATTCTCTGAACTCCCGGGAAACTTCCAAGCTTTATCATACAACTGGGCAGCTCGCAGACTGACATGCCTAATTGTCATGTTTCCCAGGGACAAGGAATCATCTCCACCTATATCCCCCAATCCACAGCAGCACACAAGCCTTCTCAGCTCAGTGGTTCTCCCACCTGAATGTGCATCAGGCATGTGCACTTTAAGTCTGGGATGGGGTCTAAGAATATGCATCTCTAGCAAGGTCCCAGATGATGCTGATCCAGATCACAATTTGATAATCAGTGCCTCAGCTATTAATCAGAAACTAAGAAATGGAACTTCGACCTGAAATTATAGTGAACGTTTTATAATTAGCACTTAGTTGGATTTCCCTGTCATCAAGACCTAGCCACTAGGACCTTAGAAGTGATGGTTCCTACCTTGCCTCCTATAGCCACAGGCCTGTCAAAGATGGCATGCATGCCCAGGATGGCAGACTGAGGGGGGTTGATTATGGGTGTTCCAAAGAGGGAGCCAAAAACTCCTCCATTGCTAATGGTGAAGGTACCACCATCCATATCTTCAATGGCAAGTTCATTCTTTCGGGCCTAAAAACAGATTTCATGATTGTCACATTAAGCCAACCCAGTTTCTTTCACCCAAAATCAGTCCCTAATCCCAGCACTTTGGGAGGCTGAGGCAGGAGGACTGCTTGAAGCCAGGAGTTCAGGGCCAACCTGAGCAACACAGCAAGACCCCATCTCTACAAAAAACTTAAGAATTAGCCAGGCATGGTGGTGCACACCTGTAGTCCCAGCTACTCGGGAGGCTGAGGCAGAATCGCTTGAGCCCAGGAGTACAAGGCTGCAGTAAGGTATGACTGCACCACTCCATTCCAGCCTGGGCAACACAGCAAGGCCCTGTCTCTCAAAATAAAAAAAGCAAAGAAGTCCAGAAAGCTTGTATCTTAGATCAGTGGCACAAGTGCTAGCTTCCATGTGATAGTTGTTCGGCTGAGGTGACCATGACCAGTGCTCCACCAAAGAAAAGGTACAATTTCATTCAGCTGAAGACTTCAGAGGTCTTTTCTTTTCCAGCAGGTCTCATTTGATGATATTTCAGTTACCAGAGCCTGGTAAACTCCACCAGATATATAAAATACTTAGCTCTCATGGGCCACTGTCTTTCCTAGGGGCTATGCACTTTACATTCCATGAGCGCTGCTTGCTGGTGAGCCCGGCCTTCAGAAGGCTCTCTTCCCTCACCTGCCCAGCAGCTCATATACATGTATCTTTCTACTTTACCTTCTCTCCCAGTTCAGTGATGGTCCGTTCAATATCTGCGTAATTCATAGCTTCCACATTCCTGATGACTGGAACCACTAGACCCTGATGGGGGTGAAGAGCTGTTTTCAGTTGCAAATTAATAGTACCTTTTATAGTTACAACTCCTTTGATTCAACCAGTGGCATCCCCTCCCTAGAATACCTTCATTACTCAATGTGATTAACAGAAAGTCTTAAAAGAATGTGGTATGGTTTAAAAGAAAAAAAGGTTACTTTTACTAACTCATTCTAAAAATACAGAATTAAAGAAATGATCTCTCTTGTGTGATCTCCTTCTTCACACGGGTAAGGTGAGGGTCTAAGACCGGTGTTCCCCACCTCTTGCCCCAACATACCCGTGGGGTGGCCACTGCAACACTGATGTCAATATAATCCCTGTACACCACCTCTTTGGTTGTATCATCAATCACTGTGAGAGAGAAAACACATGTTACACACAACTCCCCAGGTTAAAGTTAATGAGTACTACTTGCATTAACAGAGTAAAAATCTGCAGAGCTTGACACAGTGTGGGCTGACCCACCACCATGAACAGCAGTGCTTTATGCATAGCAGCTGGCATTCCACTTACTCCCATCCCAACCAAGTATAGTATCTCCCAAGTCCCCTGACTGAGCCTGGGCATAGGAGCATCCATTTCTTTGGCAGCCCTGAGAAGGGCTGAACATCCTGTCTTACATGGAATAGGTATGCACTAAATTCTTGTTAAATAGCTCTACTCAAGCCCTCCCTTAGCAGAGAATGGCTAGGGTTAACAAATATTCCAAAAAAGGGCAAATTAGCAAAGGAAAAGGGGAATAGAGATGCTACCCAGTCTCTGCTTCCGGCTCTCAACAAGAGGCAGAAAGGAGATCCAAGAGTAAGCGGGGTGATCTGGCTTTGAACATGCTACCCTCAAGAGATGGCAAACCAGCACCTGAAAATGTACACCTAGCACCCATGGGAAAATAAAGGCTTGGGAATCATTTCCACTTAAAAGTCCATGTAGTATTGTTAGATAAGACATCCAGGCCGGGCGCGGTGGCTCACGCCTGTAATCCCAGCACTTTGGGAGGCCGAGGCGGGTGGATCACGAGGTCAAGAGATCGAGACCATCCTGGTCAACATGCTGAAACCCCGTCTCTACTAAAAATACAAAAAATTAGCTGGGCATGGTGGCGCATGCCTGTAATCCCAGCTACTCAGGAGGCTGAGGCAGGAGAATTGCCTGAACCCAGGAGGCGGAGGTTGCAGTGAGCCGAGATCGCGCCATTGCACTCCAGCCTGGGTAACAAGAGCGAAACTCTGTCTCCAAAAAAAAAAAAAAAAAGACATCCAGAGGAAGCACGTAAAGTGAAAAAGAGGCCATGAGAATTTTGAGGGCTGCCTACATGTGTGGGCAAGCAGAAGGGGGCCACTGAAAAAGATGGAGACAGCCAGTCAGGAAGGCATGAGAAGAATGGGAAAAACAAAAAGAGGTATACATTTGGGCAAAACAGATGGCCTTCTACTTCCCTAGAGCACACCACTCAATGAGGGACTAGGGCTTCTACTTCTAGACCTTCAGGGCCCTTGACACTGCTGAGGATGGCAAAAGTATCACTGCCCCCCTTTCCAATCTCCCAAAGAACAGAGAAATGTGTCAATAGAAAAACAAACTACTTGTTAGGTCAACACTACAATGACGCAGGTGAATAAAGAGGAAAGAAAATGAGTACCAAGTCCATGACAGAGAGGCCAAGCCCAAGCTCCAGTGAGGCCCATGACCTGAGATCGAAGGTCAGCCAGGAGCCTACAGCAAGTGTGAAACTCAGGCCCCAAGATAACAGGGCCTGTGGAGCTGGGCTGGGGAAGAAGCCAGAATATGAGCTTCCTCCTTTACAGGAGACAGCCTGGAGAGCTGGGCTATCCCAGAACTGCCTGCTGCCTGAGCAGCTGCTGAGCTGTGCACTGGGAAGAGAAACTGTTCTGCCCAGCTGGTGGGAGAAAATAAGCATGCTGCTGCTTCAGGAAGGTGAAACAAGAAATCCCTGGGGAAGACACTCATATTTCTATACGTAGCAAATAAAAAGCCTTGGTCTGTTGATCTTCTGCACGTGGGAGCAGGTCTGTGCTCATACACCTACCTCCCAGGACCTCTCCAATTCTGGCCACAAGCAACTCACCTGCATTTACAACAGGCTGTTCCTGCAAGGCAAAGGCTGAGGCCTTCACAAATGCCGACATGAAGCCTAGTTTGAGGTTATGTTTCTTCAAAAAAGCCTCTTTGTGCCGAGCTCTCATCTCCTGGATGTTACTGTAAAAACATATTACAAAACAAACTGACCACAAAGCCTTGATTTTCACTTTCACACAGGTTTCTCACTCCATGTACACAATTAGGTGAGAGCTTTTCCCTTACCCTGGACCATTACCTTAGTTCAAGTTTTGAAATAGCCTGCCTGAGGTTAACATAGTAACTCTGTTCTTTTGTAAAGGAATCAGGTCCAATCTGTCTTTAGGGTGGGTTGAACTCTTTACAGGCCTCATTCATGGTCTAGAAGTCAGATTTCAGTGACATGTCATACAAACGAGATCACACAGCATACCAACATCCCTGCCCTGAATAACTGTAAGCTACCATCCTGACAAAAATTGTCTTAAAGTATAAACAAAACCTACAAAATAAGCAATATTCTTTTTATTTCTTGTTGGAATACCAAAAAAAAAACCCCACCAAATCTGAGTATAACTCCTGTGTGATATTATTCCTATCTCTTGATTAGTGGAGATTAAAATAAAAACCTCACCAGTACATGAGGCTCCATGTGGGAAAAAGCAGTCATGACTATGCATGGAAGAGTATAACCCAGTGTTCTTTCAAATTCATGGAAAGTCAGATTTCATTCATTCTTCATCTTTCCAGAGTTAGCAGTTCCATCCACTTTTTTTTTTTTGAGACAGAATCTCACTCTGTCACCTGGGCTGGAGTGCAGTGGTGTGATCTTGGCTCACTGCAACCTCCACCTCTCGGGCTCAAGCAGTTCTTCTGCCTCAGCCTCCCAAGTAGCTGGAATTACAAGCAAGCGCCACCACGCCCAGCTAATTTTCTGTATTCTTAGTAGAGATGGGGTTTCTCCATGTTGGTCAGGCTGGTCTCGAACTCCAAACCTCAGGTGATCCGCCCGCCTCGGCCTCCCAAAGTGCTGGGATTACAGGTGTTAGCCACTATGCCCAGTCTCCATATACTCATTCTTTCAAACAGGTACTAACATCTACTGTATGTGAGGGTCAGGGCCAGGCACCAAAATGCAAAGCTAATTAAGACACAGCTCTTGCCCTTAAGATTAGTTTAATGGCTGTGATTTCCTTGGTAGTTAGAAAAGTGGCTACCTGTGGTATAGGCCTGTACCCTTCAGATTGAGCAGCAAGTCTTCTGAAAATCCTTTACAACATGAACAGCCTTTATTCTTTTAGGACCGTTTCTTTTTTTTTTTCCAAATACACATTGCAGAGTTAGTGGGAAATGGTTTTCCCATTACTTTGCTGCAGAAACCTCAGCATTTATCGGAATGCAGTAATGCAGTTCTATGATGAAAATTGAATTTAACTTTATCTCAAGGTCAAATGCTCAGTTCTCCCTTTCTCCCTCTAATGGCCTAATTCGACATTAGCATGAAAGGTAAGATACGGTACAATTTTAACAGCCCCCTTCAGATCTTTTGTTTTTTGAAAAAGGAAATTTTTCAAGGGGGATTGATTGGGTTTAAAATGTTTGGTTTCCTGATTCTAACCTTATTTAGTGCTAGGATTACCACCCTAAAGACATTACTGGTTCCCAAGACACAAGAGCTGCAGAAGAGGGAAAGAGATGTGATAAACATCTCTGCTCTCAAACCTGCCCAAATGTTATTGTCTGGTCATTAAGTAGTTTCTATTTCAGAGCTCTGCCCTTGGAGGCAAAGGCTGAGACAACAAAGGAAGGGAGAAGGTCTGGAAAGGTCCCTTATGGGTTAGCTGATAAGCAGAAGACCCAAAGGGCCCACTATCTAAACCAGATTAGGCTGCAGCAAGACCGCAGGCCATTGTTAAGTGACACCTCGATTAGCTGCTGAAAGGAGATCCAGCTATTACGCTTACTTTCCAATCAAAGCTGTTGGGCCAACTGCATCTTTCAAGACCAAAATATTTACATGTTTTGTCTTAAGAAATTGGGTAGAATTTCAAAGTCCAATTCAATTTGGTACAATCTGGCCCTAATGCACTGAAACATAAGCTGCAGCTTTTGTGACTCATTAGTCAAGGTCCTTCCCTACATCCTATGAATAAGAGAGAAATCTTTGGCTTGAATGTCATCCAGTCTCTTCAAAAGATTCCCAACAGAATGGATGACATCTAGTAAAACAGGTCACAGAGCCCTACTCTGAACAATGCCACAGCACACTATCAAGAAAACACTCCCTTCTCCCTATTTTTCAAATCCCTTCCAAAGAAAAACAAATTTCTCTAAGGAAAAGTAGATTCAGAGACTAAACCCTCAGGACAAAAAGAAACAAAGAGACAACCTGAGACTTGATTTGCTTCCTGAATTAAGTATAAATTCCTACCCTGTCATTCCAAACATTCTGAAATAAGGATCCAACCTTCTTTACCATTCTTTGCTACATACATACATACATAATCCTCACAGAAATGATTTTTGACAATTTCTCAAATGTGTCTTCTACTTTCCCATCTCAGGGCCTATACTGTTAACATCATCTGGAATGAGCTTTCTCCGCAACACTGACAAAATGCTAGTCATTCTTGAAGACCTGTTAAAAATGATCTTCTAGCCAGGCATGGCAGCTTATGCCTGTAATCCCAGTGGGAGACCAAGGCAGGAGGTCTCCCTTCTAGCTTGACGCTAGAAGTTTGGGAGACCAGCCTAGGTAGCATAGCAAGACCTTGTCTCTACAAAAACTAAAAAAATTGGCCAAGCCTGGTGGCACACACCTGTATTCCTAGTGGTCCCAGCCATTTGGGAGGCTGAGGCAGGAGGATTGCTTGAGCCTCCCAAGTAGCTGAGACTATAGGTCTGCACCACCACACCTGGCTAATTTTTTTTTTCTAGAGGCAGAGTCTCACTCTGTTGCCCAGGATAGAGTGCAGTGGCTCGAGCTTAGCCATTACAACCTCCTCCTCCTGGGTTCAAGCAATTCTCGTGCCTCAGCCTTCCGAGTAGCTAGGATTATGGGCATGTGCCACCTGGGTAACTTTCGTATGTTTAGTAGAGGCACAGTTTCACCATATTGGCCAGGCTGGTCTTGAAATCCTGGCCTTATGTGATCCGCCCACCTTGACTTCTGAAAGTGTTGGGATTACAGGTGCGAGCCACCACACCCAGCCCTCACTTGGCTAAGTTTTAAAATTTATGTAGAGACAGAGTCTCATAATGTTGCCCAGGCTGGTTTCCAACTCCTAAGCTCAGCAATCCTCCTGCCTTGCCCTCCCAAAAGCTCTGGAATTATAGGCAAGAGCCATGGCACCCAGCCTATATTCCCGCTGAATTCCACAGTATAGTACCCTGTGTACAGTACATACTCAAAACATGTTTGTCAAATTTCTCTGTGTACAGTACATACTCAAAACATGTTTGTCAAATTTCTCTTCCTGACAGTGCTGATACTTGAACATATCAAAATCTTGAGGAAAACAGGTGAGTCAACAATTAGCTCACTACATAAATGAGCACACCTAGTGAATTAGTACCTTTGGTTAACATTCTCAGGTTATTTAAAAACACAACTTGTTTTCCATTTCGCTATCAAAGCTGGGTAAAGTGAAAGACAAGCCCTACCTATCTTTGCCTTTTCATCTACCCGATTCTGAATCTGTGTGAAAGAATCAGGATGTGGTGCCCTGGCTCCGCGCATGCTGTCAAGGCCTCTCCATCCCGAGTGGGAGACCTGTGCATAAACCATGTCGGCCTGGTTGCCCATCTCTGTTTGGCAACCTGACACTAGTCATTGTGTACGACTATGACTACTCTAACAGAAATCACAAGATTCAGTTTTAAAAGTCTAAAACGCATGCTTGCTTCAGCAGCACATACACCAAAAGTCTAAAACACTAAGTTGTTGGGTTTTGTTTTGTTTCTTTGAGACAGGGTCTCAGTCTGTTGCCCAGGCTGGGGTGCAGTGGCATGATCTCAGCTCACTGTACCCTCAACCTCTTGGGCTCAAGCAATCCTCCCATCTCAGCCCAAGTAGCTGGGGCTACAGGTGTGCACCACCACACCTGGCTAATTTTTGTATTTTCTGTAGAGATAAGGTTTCGCAGTGCTACCCAGGCTGGTCTTGAACTCCTGGACTCCAGCAATCTGCCTGCCTTGGCCTTCCAAAGTGCTTAGGATTACAGGTGTGAGCCACTACACCTAGCTAAGGTTAAGGTTAAGGTCACGGAGAAGGCAGGCAGAGTATCAGGAAAGCCAATTAGAGATGAAGCCAGTGGGTCACTCTGTGAAAGTCAACAATAAACAAAGAAGTACCTCTTCCCTGACAAGTTAGTTTTGGAATCAGCACTAGATAAGGACTGGGGCAAGTTCAAATGTTCTCTTTATTATTATTTTTTTAAAAGATGGGGTTTCACCATGTTGGTCAGGCTGGTCTTGAACTCCCAACCTCAGGTGATCCGCCCGCCTTGGCCTCCAAAGCTTGGATTACAGGCGTGAGCCACCGCGCCCGGCCAAGTTCGAGTGTTCTCTAAGAAAAGGGCCTCGGGGATAAAAGGACTAGAGACACTACCTCATGTCAATCTCATTAAAAGTTGTCAGCATTGCGCATGTATTCTGGGCCTCCTTCAGACGCTGAGCAATGCGCTGCCGCATCCTGTTCATTTTCTCCTGAAAGTGAAAGTGGAACAAGTATTGACAATCTGATCTCTCTGGGTCAAACATTCGCCATGTAGTCAGAAACAGCACGGCTTGCCACGAAGGGAGGGCCAAGGACTACAGTATCTAAGTACAACAAGAGCGCCAGGATTCCCTTTCCTGTGGTGGCCCTTTCTCCAGCAAAAACAAGCCAAAACGCCTCACTCAGATGTGCCTGAAGCTAGACCAAAATGAAGGTTCAGAAATAGTGATTTAAAAACCAAAACCACTTTATGAAAGAATGCAGTGTAGTGTACTCTAGCCAGCATAAGAATCATAAGAGAAAGGGCAATTTCTATTGATAAAGACTTGCATGAGAATAGCTATTTGTGGAACGGAACCTCATAAGCAACAAACTTTTGAGGCCATCATATTTTTAGGAAGTATTCTCAGGCAGAGGAACCACACTCTTGACCATACTTCCTTGAGGTTTTATATCTGCAACTGACAGCGATTGCTACTGAATATCATCCATTAGCTATAGCTAAGTATCCCGGAAGTATAGGAAGAGAGCTCACTAAACCACCTCTCTGAAGTATGTGACATCGTGGGAGGAAGGGGGTGAGTTATTAAGCTACCATCCCCTACAAATATTTAACTAACCCAAAGCTTTCAATTGGTAGCATAATTTAGTGGGAAAACCACTGAACAAGTGTTCAGAAGACCTAGAGTTCTGGTCCTATCATTTGAAGGTTATGTGACTATGAAGAAGTTATATCCTAAACTCCCGTTCTTTGTCAAGGCTGACAGAATGAGCTGCCAGTCATTCAAATGTAGGCACCACCACACCCATTTTCCACTAATCAATACTGCCCCGCTGAGCCTCTTTCCTGGAAGTGGTCCTCAGAGGCTTACCCGATGTTCCGAACGCAGACCACCTTTGCCAGCTCCTGGCTCAGCTAGTGGAGGGGCAGCAGTGGGTTTTACTGCAGACACTGAAATGAGAAGAGGATAAAGCTGCATCAGACAAGGAAAGAAACATCTACTGAGTTTGTGCCAGTGCCTTCGTATGTACTGTCAATCTTCAAGATATTCTGAGGTATATTAGAATCACCCCAGCTTCACAGATGAACAATCTGTTCAGATAAATTAAGTGACTGGCCTGAAGTCACACAGCTAGTAACAGAAAGCTGAGATGCAAAGCAGGCCTTCAGATACAAAGTCTACAGTCTAGAATTCTTTCTATAAAGCAGAACCATGGTTAGTCTTAAGAGTTTACCCTGTGAGAGAACATATTAGATGAGATGTTCTCCCACTTGACACGTGGGAGTTGGAGGCCTACCAGGTTTGCTAGAAAGAGGTTGTGAGGGCGAGGGCACTGGTGGCATCTGAGTGGGTAAGGATACTGCAGGGGGAGGAGGAACTGCTGCCGCTGTAGGCTCTGCTTTTGGGGCTGCAGCAGCAGGGGCTTCGGCTGGCTTGGCCTTAGCAGGAGCAGCTGAAAAACAAGAAAAGATAGATGCCACTTGCACTGTTTGAAATGTAAAACAACCAAATCACAGCTACCAAGCAACATTTAGTGGCAAAAACTCTAGCTCCAATCGAGTAACAAATGTCTACTGGGTATCAGTAATATGCAAGGCACTATGAGACACACGCGCAATGACATAAGGCACTATACTCTATTCCTCAGGGTCCCTAAAGGTCTCTCAGACAACTGGCTCAATTTAGCTCCCTTCCCAGTTTCACAGCTATCTATTGAACAAAGTCAGCAAGTACTTTCAAAGCACCTACCAAGCCCAAGAAAATGTAAACTTCCGAACAAAAAACAAACAAACAAAACACTGAGGGAATTTAAAATATTGAAATACATACATAAACATAATATATTTCTAATTACTGATACTCTCCTCCTCTATTTTAACATTATATATGCAAGAATACTATTAAAAAATAGGACGGGCACGGTGGCTCACGCCTATAATCCTAGCACTTTGGGAGGCAAAGGTGGGTGGATCACGAGGTCAAGAAATTGATACCATCCTGGCCAAAATGGTGAAACCCCATCTCTACTAATACAAAAACTAGCTGGGCGTGGCGGCGCGCACCTGTAGTCCTAGCTACTCAAGAGGCTGAGGCAGGAGAATCGCTTGAACTCAGCAAGCAGAGGTTGCTGTGAACCACGATCACACCACTGCATTCCAGCCTGGCGACTGAGTGAGCGAAACTCCATCTCAAATAAAATAAAAAATAAATTAAAAAACTAAAATAAAAGGTTCATCAAGGGTTTCCTTAGGCTTAAGAAAGCACTTCATAGAGGATGACTCATAAATCACTGAGGTGGCCAATAATCTCACAACTTTAAACGAAATGTTTGTTTCTATTTTTTACCCATCTGAACATTATATCCAGGGTTAATGCTAAGACAAACATCTGCTAACAGGAGGACTATTCTGATTTCCTAGCCTTCTACCATACATGTTTTCTACTCTGAGCTTCTGGTCTTGTCCTGATTAACCTCAATGATGCAGTCTATCTGCTTCACGAGTGTAACAGTGAAAAAGAAATAGACTTCTGTGGCTTGTTCGTCTAGGGATATGATTCTCACCCAGGAAAAAGAAACAGTCTTTTTAGTGGTTATAAAATTTAACTGAGTCAGATAAACAGTTATTAATCTCTAATCCTATCAGGTCCACTACAAATTCTTTTGCTTCTCCTTTCTTCCCAAGAGAAATACCAATCCTTCCTAGAGATATGAGAGAATAGACGTGAAAAGAAACAACACTGAATTCCCCATAATAGACAATGAGAGTTTCCTTTGAGCATTATGTCAGTGCTCAAAAAGTTTTGAAGCATTTCAGATTTTGGGTTTTCAGTTTTGGAGCACTTCAGATTTTGGATTTTCAGATTAGGTATGCTCAATCTGTCTATCTGTAAGAAAAGGTAGTTTCTTAGCTCCTGCTAAGAAACACCCATGGAAAGAACAGAGTGTAATATTTTTTAAATAAACTTTTCTTCCAGAATTTGACATTTAAAGTTCACAATATATAAATTTCCCCTTTACTCCCTCAACTAAGGACAGTTGGAATGTCTTAGTTGGAGTCTTTGACATATCAGAGAATTAGCACATTATGCTCAGTCCCAATCCCAACAGGGAACACTGAAGACCTTGACCACCAGGAGAACTTCTTTACCACCAGTTTTCCTGAGTGTGAAAAGCGGAGTGCCTCCTTCGACTTTTCCCCCATCAGGTACCAAAAGAGCTTCAATCACGCCATTTGCTGGTGATGGAACCTGCACAGATGTCTGAAAGAGGAAGACAGATGGAAGAAGTCCAAATGTTTATCCAGTATTAGAGTTGTGTAGAATCTCCAGTAAGTCACAATAGTTGCAACACAGACATATAAAGCCCTGCACACAAACACCTAAGGCCAAACTTTCAGAGCAAGGGTGATGACAAGTCATCACTATTGTGAAGATTCACTCTTTCTGTCCTTTCTCAGAAACACTCAGGCAATATTCGGTTAATAGGTTTCCAAGTGATACAGGAAAAACAAAACAGCTCATTTACCCTCTCCACCCCTCCCGGAATCACACACTATAAGACTAAAGCTAAATGAAGTACACACAGTGAACAATCTAAAGTTAAATGTAGGCCAGGCAAGGTGGCTAATGCCTGTAATCCCAGCACTTTGAGAGAGCATGGTGGACGGATCACCTGAGGTCAGGAGTTTGAGAGACCAGCCTGGTAAAACCCTGTCTCTACAAAAAATACAAAAATTAGCCAGGCGTGTGGCATGCACCTGTAATCCCAGCTACTAAGGAGGCTGAAGCAGGAGAACTGCTTGAAGCCGGGAGATGGAGGTTGCAGTGAGCTAAGATCAGGCCATTGCACTCCAACCCGGGCAACAGAGCAAGATTCCATCTTGAAAATAAAAGAAGTTAAATGTAAAAAAAAATTTTTATATTGAGTGAACCCAATAATTTTACAACTGAGGTCAGAGCTAGTTAAAAATTATCTCTAACCAACAGTTAAGTCCCTGTTCCTTTCATTAGGTTAACAAACTAAGGGAAGACCATGAAAAACTGGTACCTATATAAGATAAGCCTACCTTGTCAGTTTCAATCTCACAAACCACTTCATCTTCTGCAACTGTGTCTCCAACAGCTGAAAAGACAATCAAAGTCTTTTCAGTTTGCCACAAACCCATTTTGGCAGGTATGTTACAAGAACCCTTTCCTACAGGGCCAGGGGAAAGTACATACGTAAAGAAAAGGGCAGAGCTATAAATTCTACAACTATCCTGGGGGCAGAGGAGAATTTCAGACAGCACTTAAACTTAAGAAGTGAAAGGAGCCCGACACAGTGGCTCACACCTGCAATCCTAACACTTTGGGAGGCTGAGGCAGGTGGATCACCTGAAGTTAGGAGCTTAAGACCAGCCTGGCTGGCCAACATGGTAAAACCCTGCCTCTACTACTAAAAAAAAAAAAATAGCCAGGCATGGTGGTACACATCTGTACTCCCAGCTACTTGAGAGGCTGAGGCAGGAGAATCACTTTAACCTAGAAGGTGGAGGCTGCAGTGAGCCAAGATCATGCCACTGCAATCGAGCCTGGGAACAGAGTGAGGAAACTAAATCTTACCTTTCTCCCACCTGACATCTCCCTCCGTAACAGATTCTGCAAATGCTGGGGTTTTGACTGTAACCAAATCATCCTCTAGGAAAAATGCAAAAAAGAAAATCACAAGTAGTTCATTATTTTTCCTTTTTAATATTTTTCTTTAAACTCAATCAATTGTTGCTCTTCCCACAAAATTCCATTCCCAAGAAGGCAGGTAACTTACTGCACACAGCCGTAGTTCTGAAGAAGCGAACACTGAAGACACTACTGTTGTTAATGCTACAAAAGAAACATACATTAACTCCTTTAGCAGGTGAACTACTCACATTTTAGTCTAGGTAAGGCCCCATGGGTCACCTTCCCCTTAAATGGTGATTCTTGACCAGGGGTGTCCATCAGTGTCACCTGGGGAGGAACCTTTTTTTTTTAAAAAAAAAAAAAACAAAACAGAGTTTCGCCCAGGCTGGAGTGCAATGGAACAATCTTGGCTCACCACAACCTCCGCCTCCCAGGTTCAAGCCATTCTCCTGCCTCAGCCTCCCAAGTAGCTGGGATTACACACATGCACCACCACACCTGGCTAATTAGGTAGAGTTTCTCCATATTGGTCAGGCTGATCTCGAACTCTTGAGGTCAGGTGATCTGCCCACTTCCGCCTCCCAAAGTGCTGGGATAACAGGCTTGAGCTACCGCACCCTGTCTGAGAGGAACTTTTTCAAAGTTTATAGGTCTAGGCCCCTCTCCCAGGGATTCTGACTCAGCAGGTCTGGAGTACAGCCTAATGATCCAGGTACCTTAAACGGTGAGCTCCCCAAGTATGCCCAGGCCCCTGTGTTTCAATGCAAAAGCAGCTCTCACAAACGACTTACATTTGGTTCTTTAAAGAAAAAAATAAGCACCCTGATCCTTTGCAGACCAAACGGACTTAGCTCCTTGATTACGTTGTTTGTTTGTTTAAGAGATAGGGTCTTGTTCTGTCACCCAGGCTGGAGCGTAGTGGCATGATAATAGTTCACTGTAATCTTGAACTCCTGGGCTCGAGGGATCCTCCCACCTCTGCCTCCCGAGTAGCTGGGACTACAGGCATATGCCACCCAGCTAATTTTCAAAATTACTTTTTGTAGACTCTGGATTTCATTGCCCAGACCGGTCTCCAAGATCCCACCTAAAGCACTGCGATTATAGGAGTGAGCCACCATGCCCAGCCAGATTTCTTGCTTAACTAAATCCAAGATAGATATATGGCTTGCCCAGGGTATAAGCCATTGTGCAAGGTATAATGGAAATTCTGCCCTCAAGATTACAGATTTAGATCAGATAAGGCAGCAAGATTAACAAGGTTAACTCTGAAGTAAAACAAGGTGTTATGCCAAAACAAACAAACAAACAAAAACCACACATACATACACCCAAAAACAAACAAAATAAACCACACACAAACCCCATCTGGTATCTCCTACTCTATTCTCTTGCTAGAAGGCAGTACATCAATATATTCTGGACTCACTCAAAAGGAACCTCAAAGACCAAGGTAGTTTCTGATATGGCCTTTACAGTAATAATATAACTGTTTATATATATATATATATATATATATAACTGTCCAGTTGATATAACTGGAGAACGAGAACACCCTGTATTCACAAAGCAATTAACAGCGGTGACCTCTGAGGGCAAGAGATGTAGACATACGTGGTATCTATGGTTATATGTTGCACACTTGCACAATCTGGGAGAATGCTTTGGATGGGGACTTTTACTTTCTGCTCTTCAGGATTGTTTGAATATTCTACAACAAGCACATTTACAACAGAAAAGTAAAATAGATTTAAGTTGGTAACTATAAGGTCTATGCATAACCAAGAAGAAAATGAAGATATTTAAAAACTACAGAATACAAAATGCTCTAAATATAGTTTGTAACCATGTAAAAGTACATGCCCATAAGCAAGAGCTAACAGGTAACACGCAAGTGCAGAGGCTGCTCTCCAGTCATCCAGGAACCCCGAGTGGTGGCCACCACTGAGAAGAAGCATTTGCAGGGCTAGAGGACAAGGACAATAGTCTTCTCATGGACATCCTTTTTACTTTTTAAATTTTTTTTTTTTTTTTTTTTTTTTTTTGAGACGGAGTTTCGCTCTTGTTACCCAGGCTGGAGTGCAATGGCGCGATCTCGGCTCACCGCAACCTCCGCCTCCTGGGTTCAGGCAATTCTCCTGCCTCAGCCTCCTGAGTAGCTGGGATTATAGGCACACACCACCATGCCCAGCTAATTTTTTGTATTTTTAGTAGAGACGGGGTTTCACCATGTTGACCAGGTTGGTCTCGATCTCTCGACCTCATGATCCACCCGCCTCGGCCTCCCAAAGTGCTGGGATTACAGGCTTGAGCCACCGCGCCCGGCCTACTTTTTAAATTTTTTAACATGTAAATATAACACCTATTAAGTGAAAACATAAAACCAAAAATTGTTTTACAATAAAAGATTTCTTAAAGTGGGTACCTTATTCACAGAAAAGGCACAACACACAGAAAATACTGGATTAGGGTGACATGATTATGGGTGATCTCACATAAAGTTTTTTTTCTTCATTATTTACTTTCAAATATTTAATGTATTTATTGTAGAGATTCATGACTGCTCCAATTTTCACTGATTGCAGATGAGTAATACACTTTGAATCTCTAAATAACTAGATGCTCACTGCAGATTAGAAATAGTAAAAAAGCCGGGCGTGGTGGCTCAAGCCTGTAATCCCAGCACTTTGGGAGGCCGAGACGGGTGGATCACGAGGTCAAGAGATCGAGACCTTCCTGGTCAACATGGTGAAACCCTGTGTCTACTAAAAATACAAAAAATTAGCTGGGCATGGTGGTGCGTGCCTGTAATCCCAGCTACTCAGGAGGCTGAGACAGGAGAATTGCCTGAACCCAGGAGGCGGAGGTTGCAGTGAGCCAAGATCGCGCCATTGCACCCCAGCCTGGGTAACAAGAGCGAAACTCCGTATCAAAAAAAAAAAAAATAGAAATAGCAAAAAAAATAGTTACAATGGGATTATACCACACAGTAGAAAATGAAATCATTTTGTCACCTGCTTTTTCCTACTTTTCAGAGTGGGAATCTGTGAGGCACACTACAGTTTAACCAATCCCTTGCTCTTTGTCATTTTGAGAGAAATCTTATTATACCAGGAGTTCTTCAGTATAGATTCCTAGAAATGGAACTGCTAGACCAAAAGGCACACACAATTCAAAGACTTATGACCACCAAATTGCCCTCCAAAATAACACAGGAATTCACATTTCTAGTACTTAGTGCAACATTTTCTTGATTTAAAAAAAAACAGCCAGGCACTGTAGCCCACGCTTGTATCCCCTACTTTGGGAGGCTAAGACAGGTGGGTGGATTACCTGAGCCCAAAATTTTGAAACCAGCCCTGGCACCATGGCAAAACACCCCATCTCTACAAAAAATATAAAAATCAGCTGGGCATGGTGGCATGTGCCTGTAGTCCCAGTTACTGAGGAGGCTGAGGATGCAGCAAGCCAAGATCATGCTACTTACTGCACTCCAGGCAGGACAGAGCAAGATCCTGTGGAAGAAGTTTATCTGCTGACCCCTTCACTTTGAGGACTCTCCCTGTAGACAAAGCAGCCTGACAGCTGTTGAACAGGTTACTAGAGAGCATTCTCTTAGCACCACCATGAAAACACTTGGAATGCAAAGCAGCATTTAAGCAACATTAATAAGCAAAAGTTAATCTGAAACACACATGGGTGGCCTTTCTCCAAACTCTGCATTATGCAGTAACAGCACTCCCTCCAAACTAGTCAGTCCCAGGACTCAACCAGTTTTATGCTTTTATTCTTTTTAAAATGAGTATCTGCTACTGAGAAGATGGCTCAGTCTCTACAATAAATGTAACCTTGAGCCCTTCAGCTGCACTTACATCCAACTAGAATATCTAAGAGCACCCTTCTATACCTATCCCATAAAGAGAGGGTTCCAACCTAACTTTCATTATAATCTAAACACCTGTGGAGAGCAAGCACACTCCCAGTTCAATACCTGACATGGGGCTGATGCTCAAGGAACATCATATGGGAAAAATGAACATCAAGGTTAGTCTAGGGACTCAACATAACCACTTCAATTGCTAGGTCTGGAGGCCAGTGAGGAAATCAGATGGTCAAATTTAGAACTGATGTCTTAAAAATACCCTGTGGCCACATATCTGTATGCCCCAGTGATACTTACACAACCTTCCTGCTGTTAGGGTAACCTGGTCCCTGGCATAAGGAGACCCCTGCAAGAAACAAAACAACTCTTAACCAACAACTCTTATCTCAGAAGGGATACATTCTGGGAATGTAGGTCTGCTCACCCCCAACCCTGAGACAGAACAGAATCAACTACAGGCAATGGATATAATCTTTATCATAATGTCTTGCTTCTCAAACTTTTCCAAAGTAGCCTTAATGGCAGAGAGCACTGGGTATTTGAGGTTAAGAGTAGGTATGTGGGTCGGGCGTGGTGGCTCACATCTGTAATCCAAGCACTCTGGAAGCCAAGGCGGGTAGATAACCTAAGGTTGGGAGTTCAAGACCAGCCTGACCAACACGGTGAAACCCCGTCTTAAAAAAAAAAAAAAGAGTGGGTGTGTGTTTGGGAAAGTGAAAAAATTTGATGGCACAGCCCAAAGTGATTATATAATCTCATTTACCTTAAAAAGTCAGAACTTTTCATTATTCCTTTATCTTTTCATAATAAAATCTCTCTACTCACCAAGTCTTCAAATACAACTGAAGCTTAAGAAAGATATGGGATGATGGCTGGGTGTGGTGGCTCCCACCTATAATCTCAGCACTTTGGGAGGTGAGGCAGGCGGACCACAAGGTCAAGAGATCGAGACCATCCCGGCCAACTCAGTGAAACCCTGTCTCTACTAAAAATACAAAAAATTAGCTGGGTGTGGTGGTGCGCACCTATAGTCCCAGCTACTCAGGAGGCTGAGGCAGGAGAATCGCTTGAACCTGGGAGGCGGAGATTGCAGTGAGCCGAGATCGAGCCACTGCACTCCACCCTGGGCAACTGTATTCCAAAAAAAAAAAAAAAAAAAAGATATATGATGGCTATACATAACCCAATTTGAGAAGCAAGGAGGATATTTGGCCTGTGTTTGAAAAGATTGGGCTGAAAAATCTTACCACCTGAACCCTAGTAGCAAAGACTTGACTACTTTAGGATCAGGGTCTCCAGCATGTCCTAGGGCTGAGAAAATCATGCGCCCACCTTTCAATTACTGACTTTCCATGCCTTTCTGAAGTCTTCCACCCTGGTCACTCTCAACAAGGTGAAAGCCCCTTTCTGCCCACCAGCTGTCCTTATCACAGTTAAGTGCATTTCCCCAACTGTTGACTAGTAACTACAGCTGCCTCTTCTGGAATATATTCTTTATGTCTTTTTTATTTTTTTCCAGATTAACAACTCTTTCTGAACCATGGGCTCAAGAGACTCTAAGTGAGAGCTAGTTCTCTCTTACGCCCACCTTCTCACAAACATCCCAAGATAGGTAAGCCAATCACCTCTATGTCCAGCAGCCAATGACTATGCAGTGCAAAATTCAAGCATAGTATATTTTTCAACTACAACAGCTGGCAGTCCACACTGATTTTTGGAACCTGGAGTCCAGTTCAGAGTTCACCCTACAGCAAGTTTCACCGATACAGCACTTTAGGGTTTATAAAAAGCTTTCACATAATGACCTCATTTTGACTTTCAGTCTCACAACTCTCTGAGGTGGAACGACCATCTGCCATTATTCCCATTTCATATAAGTAGGGCTTCTGGAGGTTAAGGGACTAGCCAAAGCCAAAATGCAAATCCCAAGTGCAAGGCTTTTTCCACTGCCATGCCCACCCATAAAGTGGAGAAAATGTTTGCTGGCATTGTTCAGAATTCCCACTTGAAAAACATGTTATTGAGAGTCCACTACTAGCTGACATTGTGCTAGGTGCCTTATGTCCTCATAACTCTTAGAATAAAGTCCACACAACTGATACGATCCTGTACCATCCAGCCCACTCTATCCTTCCAGCCAGACAGGCTTCTTCCCATGTCTATCACTGGTCAAGTCCTTTCCTGTCTGAAAACCTTTGCACAAACAATTCCCTTTGCCTGGAATATCATTTTTCTTGGATAACTCTTTTATATTCAAGCCTCAGTTAAATGTCACTTCTTCAAGGAAGCCTTTACTGATATTCCCAACCTTCCCCAGCTGGGCTACATCACGCCACCCTCTCATCACCCTTTATTCCTCTCTTGTAGTAACCACAATTTAATTACACCCTTGTTGGAGCATAAATGTATATTTGCTCTCTCTCTCCAGCTAGCCCATAAAATCTCAAGGCTAGAGACCATCTGTATCCCTGTCACCTAGCACAGGGGCTGGCATATAGTAAGCACTTAATAAATGATCTGTTGAGTCCATGAGTAAATGAGAACATGGTGGGCTAAGAGTTCAGGCTGGGTTAGGTAGACCTGGTTGATCAACAGCTGGGTGGGTGACCTTGGCCAACGCTTTTAATCTCTGGTTTTGGGTTATGCATTTGCAAAATAGAGAAAACACTTCTTACTATTTTGTGATTAACTAAAAAGTTCACAGAAAGCATTCATAAATGCTTGGTACAACGAAAGTCCACAAGATCAACTCATTCAACAAATACTTATGATAGGCATATAACAGAAAATAAGCTACGAATGACCATTGTTATTATTATTTTTTTTTTTTCAAAACTACCGGGATAAAATCTAAACTCCTTCAAACAGTTTCTACAGCATCTTCTATTTCATGCCCTAACTAAAATCTAAAATACTCTGGCCAAATCACCTTTCTTCCAGTTTTTTTTTTTTTTCTTTTTTTTTTGAGACGGAGTTTCGCTCTTGTTACCCAGGCTGGAGTGCAATGGCGTGATCTAGGCTCACCGCAACCTCCGCCTCCTGGGCTCAGGCAATTCTCCTGCCTCAGCCTCCTAAGTAGCTGGGACTACAGGCATGCGCCACCACGCCCAGCTAGTTTTTTGTATTTTTAGTAGAGACGGGGTTTCACCATGTTGACCAGGATGGTCTCAATCTCTCGACCTCGTGATCCACCCGCCTCGGCCTCCCAAAGTGCTGGGATTACAGGCTTGAGCCACCGCGCCCGGCTTTTTCTTCCAGTTCTTAAGTGCTGCCAACCTCTTTTCTTCCTGAAGATCTTTATGCATGCCATTGTCTTTTTTCCTGGGCTTCGCTGGGTTAGCTCCATCACATTCTGCTGGCCATAGTGTTTTTTGCTTTGTTTTGAGACGGAGTCTTGCTCTGCCGGCCAGGCTGGAGTGCAGTGGCGCGATCTCGGCTCACCACAACCTCCGCATCCCGGGTTCAAGCGATTCTCCTGCCTCAGCCTCCCAAGTAGCTGGGATTACAGGCGCAAGCCACCATGCCCGGCTAATTGTTGTATTTTTAGTAGAGACGGAGTTTCACCATGCTGGCTAGGCTGGTCTCGAACTCCTGCCCAGAAAGAATAATCTGTGCGAGTAGGCCTCCCAAAGTGCTGGGATTACAGACCTGGGCCACCGCGCCCGGCCATACTTTTATGTCATCTCCTCAAAAAGGGCTCGTCTGTCCACCCTCGTGTGCTTCCTTCTCAGCATTTACAAAACTTTGTCACTGTTCACTTGCTTAGCAATTGACACTTTCCAACTAGCCTGGGAGCTCCACGAGAGCAACAATTGTACACTGCTGTATTCACTGCTGTATCCCTAGCGCAGGGCCTGACAGTAGAAACTCAAAAACTACAAGCTAAATAAATAAATGATAGCTCATGATTATGTAGAATTGTGTCTCACTACTCTCTAAATCGAACCGCCTTTAAATATTATGAGAAACACAGGCACCCCCGAGTTCCTCACGTACTGCTCTGCCCAGGAGGAGAGCATTTTAGGTGACGGCAAGGGCAGAACTTACCGGGCAGGGAACGTCTCCCTAGAGGGCAGTTCCCCTGTTGAGAAAGAAGACATTATCGACGTCACCCAAGACGAAAAAAAAAGAAACAGGAATTCTTTTAAGTATACGCTCAAAGCTGTCCCAGTGCTGGTGACAGGTGAATCTCCTAACTCCAAAGGTAAATGTAACACACCGGGCTGGCAAACCCAATCAACACGCTGGGCCTGCCAAACGATCTCAACTTCCCAATGGGACTCACTAATACCCACAGATTTTAACAGAGCAAGAGGAGACGGGCGCCGAATCCCGCAGGAGGACTCCGCCGCGCCTCCTCCCCAACTCTGAGTCAAGTATGTGGACGGGCGCGGCTCCCGAGCTCCCGCGCGGAGGGTGGGGTAAGGCAGGAGACGTTCTCCACGGGCTGCCTGGAGAAGGCAGGGGGCCGCCAGGCTCCGCAAGACGATCCTGAGGGCAACCACAGCCCCGGGCCGCCCAGCCCGCGCGGCCTCCGCGTCCCGGTGCCCTTGGTGCCCGGGCTGGCCGGCACGCCGCGCCCCTGCCTTCCAGGTCGCCTGTCCGCCCGCCAGCAGGCTCCTCATCCGTCGGGGCCCCGGCTAGGCCAGATCGTACCTTCTGGAAGGCGGAGAGCGAGCGGCTAAATGCCCGGGACACACAGCGAGACCGGGACAGCATCGCGGCTGCGGAGCCGAGGGCGGGCGGACACCGGATATAGGGCCCGGCAACAACCGGAAGTGGGGCGGACCGCAGCACCCGCCGCCCGGCAAGGGGTGTTCGGAGCGAACCACTGGCGGGGTGGGGGGGGGGAGGCGCAACGGCGGCGCCAACTAGCCTGCGTTGCATCCCAGGAGTACGGCTCTCTGGGGCAGGCGGGGCCGTCTGCGCAGGCTGTCAGCCTGGGCCGGTTCTCCGGAAGGTGTCTAAGATTATCCCGCCACCAGATCGCCCCCGGGGTCAGGCCTTCCCGACCCTTCCACAGAACTGGCTCTGAGCTTGGCGCCCTTCTCTCTTGGGACCGGGGGGCACCGCGCCATTCTGTCTCTGTACCAAGACGGGCACGGACTTTGAACTCAAACCTTGGCAGACATGCATGCCTGATCTTACAATGTGTGGCCTGGAGCACATGACATTGCCCCCCAGCCCCTAGCCTCAGGTTCCTTAACTATAAAAAAAAAGAAAGAAAGAAAGAAAAAGAGGAAGGAAGGAAGGGAGGGACGGCACTTGTTACTTCCCTGTCTTCCTAACCCCGAATCAAAGAAACAAAATCCCAGGAATTTCTAAAGGGCTCCCACTGGATTTCTTCACCAACTAGCTTTACTTCTGCAACAGCCTCTGATCTTCCCCCTACACAAAATCAAGTCAAACTAATTGTTCCCCATACATCTTGTGCATTTTGGAAGTTGTTCGTTTGTTACCCTATCCCTAAAATATAAACTCCCAGCTTTTCTTTAAGAAACCAGGTCATAGCTTGCTTGCTCACTGCAGCCTCGACATTCTGGGCTCAAGCGATCCCGCTACCATAGCCTCTGGAGTACCTGGGACTACAGGTGCCACCATGCCGCGCTGACCTCCCCACTTTGAGGGTACCATTCTGCCCGCTGCCTTGAAGTGAAAGCACATAGCATCCCCTTCCCCTCCTTAAGTGTTCAGGCCCCTGAGTATTCACCTTCAAGGCTCATCTTCCTAATAAAAAAGATATTCTTCAAACCTATGGCTGAATTAGCAACAAATAAATGAATGAATGAACCACCAGTGCCTGTTCGTGATGGTTTCTTTATCTGAGGCATTTTGCCTGGTCCTCAGGATCTTTATTTTTTTTTATTTTTCTAATTAACTTATGTTTTAATATAAATTGAGACAGGGTCTCACTATGTTACCCAGGCTGGCCTCAGACTCCATCAGGACGTTTACAAGTGCCTTCATTCACCTGTACCCTGAAAGCACTGCCAATGGAATTCTGGAAGGATGGGCCAAAGTCCTAACTAGAAATAGAGAAAACAGCTGTGCCCTGCTGCTACCTATAATCAACTCCTCAGTAGCCTTCACCTGAATTATTTGAAAAGCTCTCTAAGCAGTTCTAAGCCTCCACTCTCGCCTTCTCTAGTCTATAGCCCATCATGCTTTGTATCTGTGTCAAAGATCCTTCTGGACCCAGTGCTGTGGCTCAATGCCTATAATCCCAGCACTTTGGGAGGATGAGGTGGGCAGATCAGTTGAGGTCAAGAGTTCAAGACCAACCTGGCCAACATGGTGAAACCCTGTCTCTACTAAAAATACAAAAATTAGCCGGGTGTGGTAGCAAGTGCCTGTAATCCCAGCTACTCAGGTGGCTGAGGCAGGAGAATCACTTGAACCCAGGAGACGAAGGTTGCAGTGAGCCAAGATCCCGCCACTGCACTCCAACCTGGTGAGAGTGAGACTCCTTCTTGAAAGAAAGAAAGAAAGAAAGAAAAAGAAAGAAAGAAAGAAAGAAAGAAAGAAAGAAAGAAAGAAAGAAAGAAAGAAAGAAAGAAAGAAATCCTTCTGAAATGCAAGGGAGATAAACTTTATCTCCCTGTAGGATGAAGCCCAAACTCCTCAACTTGACCAGGCACCTGATAATCAGGACTCTGATTACGTTCTGATTCTCTCCCCACATTCTCACAGATTGTGAGCTTTAGTCAAACCACACCACTGGCCATAGCCCCACTGAGCTATTTGACTCCTTCATAGCTTTGCGTGGGCTCTTCCCTCTTCCTATTTGCCTAGGGACTCCTAGTCATCCGTTACATCTCCCTCTGAATCCCTTCCTAACCCCTCTGGCAGAATTAACAGATACATTTTCTATGCTTCCAAAGCACTGTCTGGGTCTCTATGTTACATTGTGTTGTAACGTCCTGTTTACCTGCCTGTCTCCCCTGTTGCACAGAGAAGCAAATGGAAAGAGACCACTTTTTATTTTCCTGAATCCTCCAAACACAACACCTGGGACAACAGAGTTCCTGGGACTCTGAGGATACTCAGTGAATGTTTGTGGAATGACTATATACTTCCATGTTTACAGCATTGCTAGATACCGCTGAAGAATCCAAGAACGGTAGCCAGGGGCTATGGCAATCTCTGGCCAGGGTTGCTGTTAATATTTTTCTTAGCTAGCTACTCCATTCTTTCACAGTCTTTAATAATTTTTGAGGGTTTTTTTGTTTTGTTTTTGTTTTGATTTGTTTTGTTTTGTTTTTAGAGATGGGGGGTGTCACCATGTTGGCCAGGCTGGTCTCGAACTCCCGACCTCAAGTGATCCACCCATCTCGGCCTCCCAAAGTGCTGGGATTACAGGCATGAGCCACTGCGCCCGGCCTTGAGATTCTCATAGAAGGTGTAGAGGCTCAAGCCTGGTTATAATGTGGCAAAGCACTTCTGGAGTTTTAGTGATCACCCAAGTTAATCTTAGATATAACAGTCTTTTTTTTTTTTTTTTTTTTTTTTTTTTTTGAGACGGAGTTTCGCCCTTGTTACCCAGGCTGGAGTGCAATGGCACGATCTCGGCTCACCGCAACCTCCGCCTCCTGGGCTCAGGCAATTCTCCTGCCTCAGCCTCCTGAGTAGCTGGGATTACAGACACGTGCCACCATGCCCAGCTAATTTTTTGCACTTTTAGTAGAGACGGGGTTTCACCATGTTGACCAGGATGGTCTCGATCTCTCCACCTCGTGATCCACCCATCTCGGCCTCCCAAAGTGCTGGGATTACAGGCTTGAGCCACCGCGCCCGGCTAGATATAACAGTCTTAAGACACCACACACACACACACACACACACACACACACACACACACACACTCACAGATTCATACAAAATCTCTTTCAGAGGGTAAAAGTTGAAATGTATTTCCTTGAGATTCACATGCAAGTTTCCATGAACTCCAAGCTGCAATCCAATAAGCTAATGCCCTCGTCTTCATTTAGAGCCTCCCAAGACACAGCACCGTCTGCTGGGGCAAGAGGTTATGAATATAAACTGTGGCAGGGTTCAAAGAGAATTTTTTTTTTTTTTTTTTTTTTTTTTTTTTTTTTTTTAGATAGACTGTTGCTCTGTCACCAGACTGGAGTGCAGTGGCATGATCTTGGCTCACTGCAACCTCCACCTCCCAGGTTCAAGTGATCCTCTTGCCTCAGCCTCCTGAGTAGCTGGGACTATAGGTGCACACCACCATGCCTGGCTAATTTTTTATTATTTCTTTTCTTTTCTTTTTTTTTGGAGACAGGGTCTCAGTCTGTCACCCACACTGGAGTGCAGTGTCACATCTTGGCTTACTGCAACCTCCATCTCCTGGGTTCAAGTGATTCTCTTGCCTCAGCCTCCCAAGTAGCTGGAACTACAGATGCCCGCCACCATGCCTGGCTAATTTTCGTAATTTTAGTAGAGACAGGGGTTTCACCATGTTGGCCAGATAGTCTGGATCTCTTGACTTCATGATCCACCCACCTCTGCCTCCCAAAGTGTTGGGATTACAGGTATGAGCCACTGAGCCCAGCCCAAAAGACAATTTTTAAAAACATTTCATTTTAAAATATATATTAAGGAGAGAGATCCAAGATGGCTGATCACTAGCAGCTCGGGATTGTAGCTCCCAGTGAAAGCGCAAAGAAGGAGAGGATGCCACACCTTCACATGAATTCTTGTTGCGCACGCACCAGGAGATTCCCAGCGGAGGAGCCTCACGGGTCGCCAGCGCGACTCTTGTGACCGGCGAGGCGGTTTTTCCGGCGCCTTGGAGCGACGGTTCTTGGCGCAGAGTCAGAAAAGCACCATCAATCTTAACGCCGCTGATTTAGTCGGCACAGTGGGTTGCTCAGATTTCGGCACTGAGAATCAATAAGTTGGACGTCCACTCAGAAACCCAATTACAAAGACGGTAATTATAAAGACCACATGGATAAATCTACAACGAAGGGAAGAAAACAGCCAAAAAAGGCTGAGAATACCCAAGATCAGAACGCCTCTCCCTCAGCAGGGGATCCCAGTTCCTCATCAGCAACAAAACAAGGCTTGATGGAGAACGAGTGTGTTCCAATTACAGAAGCAGGCTTCAAAATGTGGATAATAAGAAACTTCTGTGAATTAAAAGAACTTGTTCTAACACAATCCAGAGAAACTAAGAACTTTGAAAAAAGGTTTGACGAAATGTTAACAAGAATACACAATTTAGAGAGGAATATAAGTGAATTGATGGAGTTGAAAAACACAATACAAGAACTACGTGAAGTATGCACAAGTTTTAACGGCCGAATTGATAAAGCAGAAGAAAGGATATCAGAGGTCGAAGACCAACTCAATGAAATAAAACAAGAAGACAAGATTAGAGAAAAAAGGATAAAAAGGAATGAGCAAAGTCTCCAAGAAATATGGGACTATGTGAAAAGACCTAATCTACACTTGATAGGTGTACCTGAATGTGACGAAGAGAATGAATCCAAGCTGGAAAATACGCTTCAGGATATTATTCAGGAAAATTTTCCCAACCTAGTAAGGCAAGATAATATTCAACTCCAGGTAATACAGAGAACACCACAAAGATATTCCTCAAGAAGAGCAACTCCAAGGCACATAATCGTCAGATTTACCCGGGTTGAAATGAAGGAGAAAATACTAAGGGCAGCCAAAGAGAAAGGTCAGGTTACCCACAAAGGGAAGCCTATCAGACTTGCAGCAGATCTCTCAGCAGAAACCCTACGAGCCAGAAGAGAGTGG